CCTCCTGAGCCAAGTGTATGCTGTCAGCCCGTACAGTGAGCACCTTACGACGTTGAACCGTACTACCAACGAGGAGGACTCGCTGTACTCTGACGCCAGCGCCGACGGGTACAGTGCTGTCATCAGCGTCAGCCAGTTGACTGACAACATTGAGGATGGTCTCGTTGGATATGTGAGTGGATGACTTGCCAAATGAAAGCGAAGTCCAAAAATGTGCTAATGTGAAGTGATAGATTACGATTGGTGTCAACTCGACTGCCGATGGACTGGCCATCACCGGAGGTGGTGTCAACCCTCAGGGATACCTTCCTACTGTTAGTGTGGATGACGCGAAGTTGGCCCAGGCAACCGCAGTCGATAGGGCTGATGGCTACACGTCTTAGACATGTTCTATATTGATCATGTCGTTCAATGTAACATCTGCTGGAACCACTTGTAGATGCACAGAAGCTGCTTTAAGTTGAGAAACATAGATACCCAAGCATATATAGAGAGATTCAGGTTGGCACTTTTACGCATTGTCCATCTAGTTGTGAACGATCACGCAGAATTCGAGGTCTACAATATTCAATTCCGTGAGTTAATTCACCGCACGAGATATTCCTGCCGCAAGACAATGATCCTTCGAGGCGTGGCCTCTCTTTACCATTAATGGAACGTTCGAAGAGACTTAGTTCTGAGTTACACAGACCTCTATCGATTTTGAGCAATGGTGTATGGTCGCTATACATCTTGGAGCGATACTTGACCACAGGTTTTTGGCTACAACATCGCTTCTCCCCAACTGTAGCTGGACTTTCAGGCTTTGATATAGGACCACGACCTCAATCATATCGAAGCACGAGATCATGGGGCAAGCTGCCGACGGACATTTGCAGGCAGGAGTGGGATTAAGCTATCTATGGCTATCTTCTTCGCCATTGTTCACAACGTCTCAGTAGATCACGTTACATTGAAGATGCATTAGACGCTATCGGATCTCGTCCGATGGTCTCACTTGACAAGCTATCTTCACGTTGCAAAGGTCGTTCTAACAGCAGGTGATGAAGGAACGATATCTAACCGCAGAACTACAGCAAGACTAACCCATGCGCCAAGGGCGGGAGACCGGGCGTACTGCCTCGAAAGTCAGAACTGCCCGCGCTACCACGTCTTCAAGGTTATGTTCTCAGTGGCTGCATACGTCTGCGATGCGTTCTTATCAAACCTGGGGAGGAGGTGTCGGGTCTCCTCCGCTTCCACTGGTCGATCTCGACATACTCCACCTGCATTGCGCCTTGATAACGCGATCAGATAATGCAGGCCTCGCATGCAGCATCAACATCTTTCATCCATTCCTCTTATTCCCGATGCCGGTCGGTAGAATCACCAGGGTGTATTAGCCGACGCTAGACCACCTGCAACCAACATCACCTCCAACGTCTGCTGGGATTAGTTTGTACCCTTGTGGCAAGTAGCATGCTCAAGGGAATCACTGGTCTAGAAGGTACCGTTTCAAGTTTTGTAGGATAGTCCTCCGTGTAGTCTATCCCGAATTTAGATTAACCTCCAATAAGACTTGGGAAACTTCCAATAAAAGGCGTCGATAAGCTATTCCCGACTGGAAGAGGGTTTGCATTACCGAGGTGGCAACGCAACAACGCTGTTCGCAAGCACATCACGAAGATCCGCAATTGCATGCTGCTCCCTCCCTGTGAACAATCGGCGGGGGTTTGATCGCTTTACTTATACTTGTCGCAAGCGTCACATTGCGAACCCTACTTACATTTCGAGTTCCGTGATACCAGCATCTAACCATGTCTCAACCACGTGACGAAAAGGATAATGCCCTTCTGAACGACTCAAAAGAGTCAACCAACCCGAAGGTTGTTGTTGATTCTGTTTTCGAGACGTCGGAAAAGGTATTTCTTGGAGGTATCGACGATGGCTCAGACGGACCCAAGAGAGGGTCCACCGAAGACTCAGAGCCTGAGTACGACTTCAAATCTGAAGAGTTCGTTAATATCCCAGAGCTTGTACGCAACGTTGTCGGATTCGAAGACGACCCCACTTTGCCAGTGCTCACCTTCCGCGCAATCCTTCTTTCTGCGATCTTTTGCACAACCGGAAGTATTGTTTCGCAGCTTTCATAGTAAAGTGCCCATCTTTGTTATGCAGCCTAGTGTGTTACTGATAACAAACAGTTTTCGAACTACAACAGCTCCATTCCCTGTATTCTTCGTCATTTTAGCCTCTGCTCCGCTTGGTCGGCTATTGGCACGTATTCTACCTGCTTATACGGTGCCCCTCGGACGCTTTTCCTTCTCCCTCAACCCTGGGCCATTCTCCATCAAAGAACATGCAATTATCGGTATTGCTGCCAACGCGGGCAGTCAAGGCCAGTGGGCAAGTACGTTACTTATGACGAATTCCGCCGCGCCCTCCTCCAGCTCCAACTAATATCAATGGATAGCTTACCTGCCAACCAATGCAGCACTGTATTACGGCATCACAATGAATCCAGCTGTTGCACTCTTTTTTGGATGGGTGAGATTGAACGATCATGACTTGAAGTTTGAACACTAAGAGCAATCAGGGTGCCTCTCTACTGGGGTTTTCATTCGCCGCAATGGGTAAGACCAAATCACCCTGTGCTGTTGATGATACTCTCTGACAAGCCAAAGTTCGGAAAATTCTGATTGATGATCCCGAATTCATCTTCCCTTTGTCTCTTCAACAGGTTACATTGTATAGGAGCATGCAAGGGAAGTCTGAGTTACACAAAAGCGTTTCCCAGAAACAGATGAGAGTGAGTAAAGAATCGTCAGCCAATCCTGTACCATGTTAACAATATCATCAAGGTGTTCTGGTGGATTCTATTGGGCACATTTCTCTGGCAATTTCTCCCCGAGTACCTTTTTCCTTTCGTCGCTGCTCTTGCTCCTCTATGCTGGTTCGCGAGTCGAAATCACACTGTCAACTTCCTCGGCGCCGGCCGTGGAGGGATTGGGCTCCTCAACATCACGCTCAATTGGTCTAACATCACCTCCACCGTCATTACTTATCCTTACAGTGTTCAAGTGACTATCTTCGTTGGCTTTGTTATCACAGTAGGTTCTGTGCCTCTTTGAAATGTTCTGTACTTACTATTCACAAGACATGGATTTTGATTCCCGTTGCTTATTTTGGCAACTTATGGGGGTCTCCTACGTACGACATCATGTCGAATGGTGTGTTCCAAAAGAACGGCTCCTCTTATCCATTTGAATCTTTAAGTAAGGCAGCAATCAATTGAGAGTCATGTAAACGATTCGTTGTGAGTGCTGACAGCTAGGATCTAGTCTACACGGACTCGAGCGGTGTTCAGCATGTCAATGAAACAGCTTACCACGAGGTTGGTCTGGCGTACTCTGGGGCTCAGTACACATGGGAAATCTTCATGGTGAGTGACCTTTCGAGTATTGTTTGCATACAAAACTGTTAATCCAACAAAGTGGTACGCATCGTACATTTCCTCCTTCGTTTGGTGTGGCCTATTCCTGGGCCCCAAAGTAGTCAAGATCTGGAAAGCAAGAAAAGCAGAGGGAGAGTATCATCAAGATAGGTTGAGGTTGGTTAATCATATCCAGATGCTTAGAGCTATTTGCTGACTTTAGTTATTTAGTCGTATCATCCAACAGTATCCGAGCCTCACTCTCTGGTAAGTTCATATCCCTCGGGACTCTACACGCAAGATATCCAGTAAAATTTTGGCTAAACACCATCAATAAGGGAATGGGTTTTGTTGACCATTATTCCCATTGGAATTTTGCTCGTTATTGTCGCCACAAAGTCTGTTTGGATGCCGACTTGGACATACTTCGTCGCTCTGGGTTTTGGCGGCGCTGCTATGCTGCCCATGAGTCTGGTTTATGCGATGTCTGGATATTCGATCAAGGTTGGGTTCTTCAATGAACTTATCTACGGCTGTTAGTCCAAGGGTATTATAACATGGTGTGTCAAGGCACATGTGGCTGACGGCGGCTATAGACATGATCGACGCGAAGGGCTCGTCGCGCCATCCCCTTGGCCAGCTAGCCTATCGCATTATTTCTGGCAACGTCTGGTACGATGCTCGTATTGTTCTAGAAGACCAAAAGGTAAGTGTTCTTCTCAATAACTACTTGATCAAAGGGACGCTAACACGAAACCTAGATTGGGCACTACCTCCATCTTCCTCCACGAGACGTGATTGGGGTCCAAATCATCGCAAATATGATAGCTCTCCCTATCAACTACGGCGTCATGCGTAGGGTCATTGCATCCAAGTTTGACTACGTGAGCGGTCGAGTCGCGGATCCTCAAGGACAATGGACTGGCCAAGAGTTCAAGAGCTACAATACCGCCGGTATCCAGTATGCACTTGTCGGGCCAAAGAAGCTCTTCGCATCCTCCTTCTTCAAGCCTGTACTCTACGGCTTCCCTGCTGGCGCGATAGCACCGATCATTATCTGGCTTCTTCACAAGAAGTTTCCAAAAGCCCGTTTCGACCTTTGGAACTCCACGATCTTCTTTGCTAGCGCGGCAACTTTCCACGGAAATCTTAGCACTGGGCCCTTTACAACTTTCCTTGTCGGGACCTTCTTCAACTTCTACCTCTACCGTTATCGTCGCGCTTTCTGGAACAAATGGGCATATATCAGTGGCGCAGCTTTGGACACTGGCTTCAATGCTAACCTCTTGTTCATCTTCGTTTTCCTTGGTACAACCGGAGCAGTAATGGCGCACTGGTGGGGAAATAATGCGGAAAATATTGAGAGGTGCTTTGCCTTAAAGGGCTAGTTCAAAGGCACAGAAAGAAAGACTTGATACTCAAGACTCTATGAAGCTACAGCAAAAGCAATCAGGTCTTACCCTCGGCCTCAACTGGAGATGCGGCTCGGTAATGCAAACACCTCAAGCTAGCAGGACACTAATTGAAGCTGAATAAGGTACCAAATACGCGTAATGAACTAGGGTAAAATCTGAAGTTCATTCCTTATCTAGCTTATTCGGATTTCTGTCAGTTCGCAGCCATTGACACCCACTGCAGTCTTCATCTCCCCACACATGAGGCCATCCACAAAGCACTGTGAAATGACTTGCCATTGGCCATTGTTCTGTCGCATGACAATGGGCGCTGAGCAGCCCGGTATAATAAATATCGAGTCTCCCTTCCGAATTTGCTGAAGAATTGCGGTGCCAAAAAGCCCCTTTACTGTGGTGAAGACCGGATATACGATTCCAATATGCTTGTCAAGTGATTCCAAGAAAGGCTTGGGGTCCACGCAATCTCCAACATCTTGCACCCGAGGGAAGAAGGACTTGAATTGCCGACCCCAAGGTTGGAAATTGTCATTGACCTGCTTGCGAAACTGTGTCAAGTCGTTGAGATTGGCGTGTTTGAGAACTTTGCCCCATCCACGCTTTTCCAGCGCCAGGATGTCTGGGTTGTCGGGGCTCAGGCTCTCAAGCCAAGGAATATCGAGAATTGTTGTTCCTGAATCGCAGTTGTAGGTTGCAGCTCGATGAAGGGTCCGTACGATTGCCGCCTTGGGATCGTTCGGCATCTTAACAGATGCTGGCTGAACGGCATCTTGCCAGACACCGAGACCACCGTGTTTCCAACCCAAGAAAGGAGCCAAGCCTTCGACCACATCAACGAGATATCCGCTAGTGGTAAGAACCTTCCCGTCATTTTCCAACCTGAACTTGGCTTTCTGTCCCCAACTGGCATTACAGTCTGTTCCCCAGAGATAAGGATCCCATGGAGATGTCAAATCTGGCACCCAGGAAGGAAGCTTCAGAGTAGATTCCGTCGTCCCAGTCAGCACTATGTCGAAAGATTCGAAGCCAGTGATAAGCGCGCTGGCAAAATCCGAGAACACATCTTCTACCTTCTTCGTATAGTCCGGCTCGATCAATTTGGCCACATATTCCGGTATCATCCCCATTAATCCGTACAGACGATCTCTCAAGTCGAGTGAGCCTGCCATCCTCCCAATCATCAAGAGCAGTCCAAGGTCGTCTTGATCTTGCCTACGTTCTTCATTGGTCTGAGCTCGACCGCGGCGAACACGCTCTTGAGACGCATTTACTAACTCCACCAACTTCAAGATTCGCCACACTTTCTCACGAGCCCTTACAGCGCCATGGATGTTCGTGACACCTTGGAGAAAGTTATGAAACGGTACCAAGCCCATGCGGAACGTCCCGAAAAGAATAGAAGGGTTGAAGGGACCCAGGCATTTCTCCTGAATTACCCAAATCCGAGACCAGTATGTCTTCTTGACAACTACATCGATGGCCCTGCGTATGGTTTCTTTCTTCTCTGGGTCCGTCATTGCTACTTCCAACACCTCAGATGCTGCAGCTTTGTCTTGTGACTTGACTATCAGTTCGTGGAGCTGAGCCATGTCGGAAATAGAGTCGTTGGGTATATCGCCTAGCCAGATGGAGACAATGAGCGCTCTTCCATAGATTTGACGCATGCGCTTCACTTGACGATTGCGCTCGGCCAGGTCCCTCTGGTTGATGCAGATTGCATCGGCCCAGGTTTTCAGACCATCAATATAATCTGGATCTGAGGACAAGGCTCGCAGAGCTGCTTCTAAGCTTTGACCGACAAGCACAACCTGGCCATTCATGATGATCGGCACTTTCACAGTCTGGTCCCCCCAAGTGTAGCTCAGGGCTCCGTAGTCACCCCATGAAAATCGATGATAGCGATGATGCGCACGTGGCCTCTCGAACGGTGAGCTTACTCTTGTCGGGCTCAATGACCGATATCGCTCATTCGAGAACCGTCGCCATCGCTCATCGCTGTTTCTCCGAGACAGCTGCGGCGTTTGTGACGACCAAGCTCTATAGTCTGGCAGATGTGCGTCGAGTGAGACGTGCTCAATAGTACAATGGACAAGGCCATGCCATTCATGTGGCTCATCCCGAAGCTTGGCAAGAGGTGGTCGTTCAATTGTCTGTAGGTTGAGGACCCGGATCTCGTTCCGGTCTTCGTTGAGCGGGTAGTAACTGAATGTGGTAGTTTCTGTTGATCTCTGAGTTGCCATTGTGAGAGAAAGAGGGCTGGCAACTACGCATCCTTCACTCGCCCCAGACGCGGTCTTTGCGGTATTTAGCCTTGGCTCGCGCTACCGGGGGGCACGATTAGATGTGATTTGTTGATTCGCTCCCCATATCAAGTGCCATGCTTACGACACTGCCCAGTGTGAAAGAGTCTGACATTCGGCACAGCCCCATCGAAGAACAATGAGGGGCTATCTCGCAGCACAATTGGTTCGAATGGGAAAGAACAATGCAATAGTAAGCCCATTTGGTTCACGACCTTGTACATAACAAAACCTTGGGTAGATAGCCGTCCGCAACTCCAGCAATGTCGATTCAATGCAAGACTACTGGGGCTCATTCATCAAAACACAACAAAGGGTGGTTATTGTGCTTAACTGAGGCTTTTCTGCCTATCCTGGTCCGATCGTAGCCCTATTTTGTGTTTACCTAACATCACCGTTTTTTTTTTTCTTTTTTTCGTTGCATATCGTTCAATGCATTTCTGCCATCCCTTTATCCAGCTGGAGTAGTCAATCCAACAGGCTGCTTGAAACCGATAATGCTTGTAGTTTTTACCTTGGTCGTCCCAAAATAATTCTCAATAGTGGAAGGATCAAGAAGGCTTGAAGGCAAGGATGCTGATGGTGAGATTCAATGTAGGAGCTAGTCCTAAGTAAGCAAGCTGGATGGATGATGGTTAAACCACCCCGTTTACCCCTCACTCCTTACTAGGATATATTGCGCGCTTACTCTGAACTATGGTTCGGCGTGTGCTATTCAATTGCTACAACGGCCTGTGCTCGATCAAACAACAATGGCCGAGGACGGTGCTGGTATGTCGCTGTGCAGTACCTGCTTAGCTATCGACCTACTCAACATCCCCGCATACCCAGATAAATACATCCTGAATAAAGGATCTATTTTTCGACCCACCTTGAGTTTGCTGCAACTTTGGGGTTCTTGGAGAGAAGAAGAGGTGTCACAATTTGGCGTTCAATTCCACCGAACTTTCGAAGACCTGTTGGACGCCTCAAAAGATTGCGCTATCTGCGCCGCGGTTCTTCACGGCGCTCATATCTTTAAGAGCTGGCTTACCCAATTGAGCCAGCAAGATAAGAAAGATGAACACATCAGCAAGTACCTTGAGGACGGATCAGTTTGGGACATGCGACTTGTCAAATACTCCCAGGACACAGAAAACATCCTGGTCATATCATTCGACGCTGAACACAATTCCATCCGCCTGATCAGTGCTTTCAGACTGTGCGTTTCAGATGACAGCGATCCATTGAGCGCTTCGATCACTGGACGGTGCTTGAGGAAGAACCCAACAGTTGACTCAATGACCGACCAAGTTGCGAAATGGTTGAGAGACTGCGACCGAGAGCATGTTCAACTCAGGTGCTGTGTAGGCGAGAGGTGCTTGCCGACGAGGGTTCTCGATGTGGGCATCGATGACAAGCAAACCTACATCAAGTTATACGAGGCTCGGGATGCATGCGGGAAATACGCCGCTTTGAGTTACATGTGGGGTCAAGGAAAAGATCATTTCAGGACCACCATGGCGAGCCTTGAGGAACACAAGGAGGGCATCATTACTGCGACTATGCCCCAGACATTTCAAGATGCTGTCACCATGACGCGCAAATTGGGAATACGCTACCTCTGGATTGATGCGCTCTGGTGAGTGCTTTTCAGTCTACAATAATGCCATTATCTAGAACACAATGAGCTGACATCTCACAGCATCGTTCAAGACGATATCGCAGACTGGAGCAGGGAAGCTTCCACGATGGGCGATGTTTACTCGAATGCTTACATCGTGTTTTCTGTCTTGAAATCAAGTGATAATGGTGTAGGCTTCTTGGGTCCGCCCGAAACACCCCCCTATGCAAGTTGTACATCCACTGCTGCCGGTATGACTGCCACTCTCTATGTTTGCGCAATACCTCGCACGCAGGCTTGCTACCTCAGTAGCGAGGACTATGTGTGGGATGAGCCTCTCTCGAAGAGAGGCTGGACTCTGCAGGAGCGTTGGCTTGCGCCGCGTCTTGTCCATTTCGGTTCACAGCAGATGTCGTTTGAGTGCAACGCGTACTTTTTGTGCCAAGATGGAACGAAATTCTCAGGGCGCTACAGCGATGCCAGAAAAGACTGGGACACCGTCGAGGAAGACGAGCGCGCCCTACGAGCTTCTACCGAGTGGACAGAGCTTGTGACCGAGTATTCTTTACGGAAACTTACCCGTGGCACGGACAAGCTTCCCGCTATATCAGGTATCGCGAGAATGATTGCAGGTCAGATCAACGATCAGTACGTCGCTGGACTTTGGCGCAAGGCGATGATTGAAGGATTGTCATGGGAGTGCACTGAACCTGATCAAGCTGCCACGCATTACCAAGCACCATCTTGGTCTTGGGCATCTCTCAATGGGCCAATTTCGCAGCAGAGCTTCGGTAACTTAATGGGCGATAATGGTCCTGAGGTGACGATTTCGAGCCTCTCGAGGGTTCTGGATTGTGTAATTACACCAAAAGGCGAGGACCCATACGGCGAAGTTCTTACCGGCTCTTTAAAGATAGAAGGATTATTCAAGACCATAGGTCCTGTGGACTGTCACACAGAGACGAAGGTGAAGTTACACCTGAAGGGTATTCCCGGAGCTGTCTCCGAAATGAAGTTTGATACCACAGAAAGCGCAAGGGAGGCGTCGAATGCAACACTCAGCTGGTTTATGCTGTTTCAAATGACCCAAATGCACGAGAAGCCTGGGGCCAAGCTCCACATGCATCAAGAAGGTATCGTCATTATACCCACGGGCGATGGCTCGTACCGACGCCTTGGAAAACTACGTATAGATTATGCTACCTGGGGAGACAATAAGCTGGGAATCAACTTTGAGACGCGGAACTTGGTTATAGTATGACGCCCATTTTTCACTGAGTAGAGACGGAGCCCATGCTCTTATGTCACAAATAGATTTTCAAGTAGTAGTCTCTATATAATGTATATGATAAGCGAGCTGGTCGCTTTCTTAACCCACCTTAAAGTTCAATTTTGCTCCGTTTTCCTCGCTGTCGTGATGGCTTCAACCTTCCAAGGCCTCACCGTACGTCACGTGATCTCGGTTACATAATCACCGAGGTTCACCTCACTTGCACCCTCTATTTCAAAGCAAGCTTCGTACCTATTTCATACTTCCAATAAACAACCGTCCTCTTTCACCTTATACTTATTCTATTAATTAACATTCATAACTAATATCAAAAACCTAACTATATAATCTAAACTTAAGAACAAACTTTAGTTATAACAATACATAACTTAATCTCATCCTTTTCAAATAATTCTTCTAATACTATAACTCCATACCTAAACAGATAAATCTAAGGTCTACCCTAAAAGCTCACCATTAGTATATCTTCTTCTTATCAATTTAAAATGAAATAGAGCGCGATTCATTAACATTTAAAAGCTATAGTATAGAACAGGTACAGACGTCGATCCGTACTTAATCTAAGCATAACTCATCAGGCTTTTACAAGTATTATATACTTATTAGTACTTTAAGCTATTGGCATAGTGTGTATGCTCTTACGGAGTACTAGCCCTAGGGTGAAAAAAATAATCAATATTTTTCTACCAACTTAGGTGTGTATATAGTATCCAGGTATAGTAGGAGGAAGGGAAGCTCATGAAGAGTAGCCGGGGTAGAGCCTCTGCTGACTGATGTCACTTGGCAAGCAGGTGAGATAGCGGTGCTCGGCTCTGTTACTCAAACTGCCACCAGTCAAAGTTCAACAGATAGTCGGTTCCCTCTCCAGTAAAGCTGAAGTAGAGATCATGACTACCTTCAGCACCGGTGATAGGGCATGTCACGGTCGTCCATGATTGCCATCCACCAGTGCCCGTAACAGAGCAAGTGCCGATGAGGGTCCCATCAAAGCTGTCAAGGCGTATCTCAATGTGACCACCGGCGGTTGCGGATGATACATTAGCAGTAAAATTTGCCGCTCCGTTCCCGAATTCGACGCCCTTGACTTTGATGTAGTCGCCATCGTTGATGAAGCCAATAGCCATACCACCTTCGCTGCAGACTTCTACTTCAATGCCCTGAGACCAAGCAATCAATTCTGCCTCTTGTCTTTCAAAAGCGTTGACGCCCTTTCTTTGAGCCGGGCCTTCAGCAGTCATCTTCATCTCTGGGATAGATCCATTGGACAGGTAGCGAAAGCTCTCGACCGCAACAGATCGAGTAAACCCACCTCCACCTGGTAAAGCGCCGTTGTGGTAGAAGAAGTATGAGATGTCGCTGAAATCAACTACACCAGGATGGTTTGTAAAGCTGCCGCCCTCCGAGGGCATGACAATGCCTTGATAAGTCCATGGCCCCGTGATGGTAGGTCCCGTGCTGTAACGAATATTCTCCTGACAACAAACAGCTGCATAGATCATGTAGTAGAGATCTCCTCGTTTGTAGGCCCAGGGACCTTCTTCAAAGGCTGTAGGACGCCCTGTAGTGTCATTCCGAGCGCCGAACCCATCAACCGTAAGCTCGACCTTTGTAATGTCGCCGCTGTATGAGATCATGTCTTCGTTGAGCTTGACATACCACAGATCCGGGTTGCCCCAGAACATGTAAGCTTGTCCGTCATCGTCAATGAACACGGTGGGGTCAATTTGGCCATTGGCGAGAAGAGGGCCACCGATAGCATCGACAAATGGGCCAGTGACACTGTCGCTGACACCAACGCCGATGGACATGAGCCCCTCGCGACTGGTCACCGGAACGTAGAAGTAGTACTTCCCATTCCGGCCGATGACCTGGCCGGCCCAGGCATTGGCACTGGCCCAAGAAAATGTGCTGATATTCATGGGGCTGCCATGATGTTGCCAGTTGACCATGTCCGCCGAGGAGAAGAGAAGCCACTCTCTCATGTCGAAGTTTGTTGAGCCATCCTCGTCGTGGCCAGTAAAAAGATAGACTCGGTCATTGACAACCAGAGGAGCAGGATCCGCAGTGTAGGACGTTTGAACAATAGGATTGTCAGCTTGCACCGTGCCGAAACTGCAAAGAAGGACCGAAGAAAGCAGTAGAGCGTGCTTCAAACACCAGCTGTGGGGATTCGTCATCACGAAGAAGTATTTTCCAGTGATGGAATGTTTCCAGTGCGATTGTCCTCGAAAGAGTGATGGCATTCGCAAGTTGATCTGATAAACTGAAGGTAGTGTGATGTTGAGTTACGAGTCCAAAGACTATTGATATAGTACATTTTCCTGCGTAATATATACAATTCTGATTGTAACTTTTAGAATTGTCTATCGTACGACTAGGGCCTGCAAGATTCTATCTGATAGAAATGTTATACCAGAAGTATGGTGTAACATAAGTATTTCTCCGTCCACCTGCACTACGCCGGGTGCGGATAAAATTCACAATTACCAACCGCATCAATCGGATCCTACCGTTACTGCGGGTACCACGAGGTCGCACCGATATGCGGAAGAGGCGATGGTATTGGTCTCGGCAGACCAGCAGCGAAGGGCACGCTGCAGATCTTCGGAAGTTTTTTTTTCACGGAATAGGCTCAAGTCTATTTCTCTACCCACTTGAACACAAATAATACTGGGCCTTGTTAATAACCGACATTAGAGGTACCCTCATGTGACCAGTTGTCACATATTTACCTGCCTTGCCCACTCCAGCCACCTCAATTACTAGAGCTCGTCCCCTACAGTCATTGCCTCATGACGAATCGTTTCAGTCTCGGGATAGACGCCGAAAAATTATTCACAATGCAAAGCCAGTAGCATTTCCTCGCATGTGTCTAGCCAGTTTACATGGCACATACTATGACTTGAATCCGAACGCCTTGGTAGGATGTAGAAGAAGGCCGAGTAGGTAAATCATGGGCCCGTTTAGCAAACCCTGAGCTGCAATGTAACCTTGGATTTTTGTAACCCCTCTTGAGTCTCTCGATTTCGGTGAGACCATTTCGGTTTTGTAATCGGCAGCCCCAAAGGTCAATCATTGAGGCTTGGCGATGTCGTGTCTCTACCCTGGCTTGATCACCAACGAGACATTGAGGGTTGGAGATGAAAATTGATCGTGGCGTTGCAGCATCAGAGCCTTCGATGAAGGCCCTGTTTATATCATAGAAGTATTCATACTTTTGCTTCTAAGTCAAAATTACGACTGCCACATTATTTTCCGAGGCTCAAGGGTGCGCGTAGATGGATGTGGAGAGCCAACGCCTCTCAAAGTATTTTGCCTGCTTGATTACAATCAAATCCAGTCTATTATCAAAGTGGGTCCATCCATAGTTTTCGTGATAAGAGTCGCTCTCATTCTCTATTTGGTGGGCGTTTGTGGGCTTCCGCAGTTGAGGTTGATGTTGTTTGAGCCTAGATGTCATATTCGTAGTCCAGCTGCAAGCTCGCTGCTTTGCTTTCGCTGCCTGGACCTTGCTTTTGAAAGCAACGGAAATTTTTGTCCAAGTGATAATAGTCTCACCTTGAGGTAGGTTGAAGACAAAACATCAAGCTCAACATTAGAGTGATTATATTATGAGGCTCGGGAATATTTCAGGTAGAGCCCGTCTCTGCAGCATCTTGTGACCGCTTGCGAGCACTGTTTTCGACCTTGATCTCGATTGTTTTAGTGATCCCTGAGGTGATAGTATAATCAATCATGCCAAAATCGCGGGTACTCCTGTCGGAGCCGTCGCTCACGTTCTCTGGCGGGAAGAGCGACGATCGGCTTGTTCCGGACTCCCTTCGAACCTGTAAATTTACTCTCTTTCCACCGCTCCATACGGAGGCGACTTGTGTTCCATTGTCTCCAGCTGAAGGCAGACGCTCTTGACTTGAGTTTCGCCTATTCGCAAGCCGAAAAGAAGAATTCTCATGAGTCGTTTGCTCATGCACAAGACGGGATGCCAGGATGTCAATGCTGCAACGGAAATTAGTCCTTCAAATTAACTAAGTCAATGAACAGTAAAGCTTACAAGATCATCACCGGAAACATACACTCAAGTGTGTAAACAAATCTGTCGATCTGGCCTGCCACTGTCCGGGCTTGCTGAACTGCGGGCTGGAAAAAGTAGGTGACTGCCCTCGTGACTCCGATCAATGCCAGGATGGCAAGGCGTATCTCTGTGCTTCGCATCAAATGCTGGAAGAGAGTCGGCGCGATTGATGCCCCTTGCGATATTGACTTTGCCGCCGCAAACTTGCGCAGGAGGAAGAAAGCGCTGAGACACTCAAGCACAGCTAAGGATGAGAAATAGCCAACATGGAGACCGTTGATGGTTGGCATTAGATCAGACTCTCCGTTCACGAGTATCTTCACCCGAGAAACCAGTATCATCATCCTGAGAACAAAGATGGTCCCTATCACTATCCAGAAAAGAGTCATAAAAATGATACGGTCGCGGCTGCGCAGAACGCGGGTGAGAATAGCATAACTGTAGAATGAAATGCCTGCTTCTTGAATCTGAAGTTAAATTAGATTGAAGTCTATCCATGTGAGCCTGTACTGAAAAGAAAATGCAAACGCGGCGTACCATCCACATGACATCCGCAACACCAGACGCAACCGCCGTATTCAAGATGGGGTAGTCTGCATAGAAGCTGTAATAACATAACCCATTTGCGATAGAGCCTGCGACAGAAACAACAATAGGTATAAGTGATACGGGCGAAAAGGCCGTGATGCCAGCAATGATGAAGCCAAAAAGTGTGTTGGCCACGCCGATAGTGCTCAAGATGGCCCAGCTTGTCTCGAAGTAAACGATGGCCATCGCGGCGCCTTGGGTTGCAGGCGCATATGCAACTTCGCAGGGTCAAAGCTTTCACATCACGGCCTCCACATTTGTCTTATACACTTTGTGATGCGCGACGGGCGCAGTCAGGAACATAGAACGCCCGCTACGCCCCCCCCTTCTTACTGCAGAAAGCTGAATCTGTTACGTAGACGCCATTTCCGGGTCCTTCTCTTGCGCTCCAATGGCTCCCCTCCGAGCCACATCTTGGATTTGTGGCTGGCATCAGGATTCGACGCGCGCCAATGAGCATTGCGGAGGGCTTAGACTAATACCGGTTTGTGGGGTGAAAGCTGGGGTAGACATGAATGATCGCCTAGAACATGCGCCTATTTCCCCAGCTTTTGTCCGCTCAACGGCTTGATTGGTTCCCCGGTGATTGTCATCATTGCCATCACTGCAAGGTCGTATCACCACCGTTGAAGCCGGTGGGATATATCTTTCCCCGCCTGCGGCCTTCAAATGAGAATCTTTTCACGCCTTCTCTACTCGATTATACAGTCGCATAGTTGCCTGAGACCTTGTTGACGTCCCTAAAACGTATACCATGTCCCTCCAGATCCATGCCCATGCATGTTGGATCACACGAAAGATGGTTCACGCGTGTCTGGCAGTTTTGCGCTAGACAAGTTACGTACAACCTTGAGGACAGGAAGGGAATAGCGAGACCATTATACCCAGAATCTTGCAGGTTGAGTGGCAGCCAACAGAGGTTGGTCAGGCGACTCTTTGACCTTTTGTGTAAGCATGGACGTCTTCTAGAAAGAGGTTTAGGCAACCGATCGAGGAATCCTTTCCCCTCCTGCGGGCACACCTTCCCAGCAAGGGTTGAGTGGCCGTCATCTTGCGTGCCTCAATACCAATGAGGGTAATGATCGTAACTTTTCAGCTTGACGGGCGCCCCGAGGGGATATTTGCCGGAGCAAGAGAAGCGGTTAATATCACATCCTTGTCTACAAGACTCTGAAACGTCAAGTTACACCTGCTTTAACCTCACAACGTAGTCGTACAGGTACGCCTCGTCTTCTGAAATTGGCGGGGTAGAGATCAAGCAATCCGAATTGGGCCGCTTCTTCCTGCATGATGCATCTTGGCCACATGTTTCCCACATGGCAATAATATCGGCACGCGATTTCCTGCAGATCCTTTTACCGGTGAGGTTCGCATAGAAGACTTTTCGAAGAAGGTTATTGCCATCGCTTACGCACCACACTCTTCCGCCATCTTCCACGAAGGCAGATACTTTAAATTGTGCTTGAGGTCAGCTCGAGCTGCGCCACTTTCCGACGGCTGTGTTTGAATACAAGACACACTCTCATCAATACATCTATGATTGACTTCTCTTCCAACAAGAAATCATCCTCACATCATACAGCATGCTGCTCTTTACAAAGCCTATGCCTCCAAAGATCAGGAAGAAGAGAGCAAGGACAGGTACGTAGTCGCACGGGTACCGAAGACGGGATGGAACATATAGCTGACAGTGTCGACATATAGGTTGCTCTAGTTGGTAGGTGATCTCATGCCTCGGCTGATTGGTAGCTGCTCACACCTTCCCAGCAAAGAAGCGAGAAAAAAGTGCTGCGAGCGGAAGCCTCGATGCACACGCTGCACTGAGAGAGGGTTGGAGTGCATCTACAACCCTGTCGAGCCACGTCGCAGCAAACATGCCAATGGGATAGCCTCGAAGACTCCCCGTAGTGTTTCTCCAACGCAACACTTTAAATCGAGACGATCTTTAGAGACTGTCTCGGATGGCGGCTTCACTGAACATCCAAGGGATGCTCACTCTACATCAAGTCACTCACCCCCTGAGACACCAGAATGGGCCAGCTTCAGTCAATTCGACTTCTGTGACAAGCCAGTTGATCAGCTCGCAAATTTTGATCGAGAGAGTGATTCACTGAGTAGCTCACGGTTCGACTTTGTCCCGCTGAACGCAGAGTTATCCCAGTCCAGCACCATCGATATCGCGTCTCTGCTGTCTGGCCTCGAAATACCGCAACCGTCATTCACAAACCTTACAGACTGCGCCCACGAAAGGAAACTCATTCACCATTTCTCCAGCGTTCTTTCTCATTTGATCGTCTTCACGGAAGAGCCGGACAATCTTTTTCAGGGTCTCATTCTGCCATTATGCTCTGATAACTCACCCGTCCTTCACGCCATGTGTGCCTTCGCCAAGGGACATCTTGAGTATATGGGCGTGCAAGACTCCAAGCATTCTTCAAACTACAGGGTTCTCGCTGCTGAGGGTGTTTTTCAACTTGTGCAGCAGAACTGCCGGCAGGAAGAAGTTTTGGCGGCAACCATGCTGCTCGTGTACTACGAATCTGTAAGCATTTTCCCCTCATCAGGCCTTCAAATAAGATCAATACTAACCAGTAAAAGCTCACCTTGACAGGAGCAACCAACATGGTTCTTGAGCACCTGAGAAGTGCCTTCCTTGTGCTGAGTTCGATTCCACTGTCCAAGAAGACCCGCAGTATCTTGTTCCTTGAAAAGGTATGTTGTTTGACTCCCATGGTCTCGCTGGCGCCATGACTAAATCAAAGAAAAGGCTTTCCAATTTTACGACGTCATCACTGCCCTTTCTTTAGGACGTAGTCCAGTCTCTACTGTGCCCGCAACTGAGCATGTTTACTCCATGGCATCACCTTCGTCCAAGTCGGCCCAAAATGGTCCTGTTGATCCGCTTCTCGGTATGACTGGCAATCTGTGGCCAGTCCTTTACCGTCTCAGCACTCTCAAGTCCTTAAAAGGGGACTTGGATGGCGCGGTCTCCAACAATCAACCAGCCAAAGCCGCCGTTCTTCTGATGGAGTATGAATCCACGGTCAAGGCAGTGCAAAAGGCTCTCCAAGACTGGGCGCCTCCGGTGCAGTCAGACGACGACTTTGAGCCTTTTTGCGATTCGGATGCCCAGGGTGCGTTCCGCGCCATGGTTCACAATTCCATGGCATATCGCCACGGTGCTTTGGTATACCTGAACCGGTCGATCCACGACCATCCAGTTGACCATCCTGCAGTTCAGGAAAACTGCCACCTGACTCTGGAGAACTGCGTTGCGGTCATCGCATCTGGTGGACCGGTCAATGCGCTCCTCTGGCCTTTATTTGTAGCAGCATGCGAAGCTATAACGGATCAGGACCGAGGTCTCGCAAGGTACGCCTTTATTGAAATTGAACGTAGGCAGGGCATGATCAACATTGAAAGAGCTCGTGCAGTTGTCCTTCATCAATGGGCTGCTGCGACGTCGGGCAAAATGAACGGCGGCTGCAATACGGGCGCTGAAGCATGGAGGGAGGTTGCGGGGAGTATGGGAATGACAATTATTTTCGGTTAGATCGGGAACTTAAAGGGGGCATCAGGATACAGGACACTCGTTTCTTTTTCATACTTACCTGTTTGTAGACACCATAATCACTAGACCCTAATTTGTACTCAGACGCCATAGACATAGCTAATTCAACGACACTATGAAAGAACTGCACACGGCTTTTGGGCACAAATGCTTAGCCTAGGTATTGTTGATGATGGCTCTCCACAGTCGTGACCCAATTGAGCGGCACCCGTGCAACCCCGGTCCGGGCCTTTGTGGGTCGATACCGAGGCGGGACTTGGGACCGGGCCGCACACTAGATCCCGTTAGCCACGGACGGCCCTTCTCTGTTTGTATGCAAAGCTGGACCAAGGAGTGAAGAAGATCGGGGAATTTTCCTGCCATCCAACCTACTTGGTCCTGAGCTCTCAACGCTAGAGATTGACTGATGCGTCTTCTTAACAGGGTAACCTAGGCGCCCGAAATGTCTCGGCGCTTAGCCACCCCCATTGATCTGCCTCTTGACCAACCCCTGTAATCCAATGGCGTACGTCTAACCTGAGATGAGTCTCCACTACAACGTCAAGGCGACATCGTGCAGGCCTCCGATTCACACCCTCTCGACTCGTCTAACGGCCCGCGCCTAGTGCGGATGGTGGTATGATCCGCCTCTTATAGACGAGCGCATACGCTCGTTGGCTTTGAAGCCTCGCCATGATTGGTTTGTCTTTCCCAGAAATGGTCCATCTTCATGCGGTCACGAGGCGTTCAAGTGGCCTTCTTGGGCCCCTCTTAAAAGGGCTTGAAGGTATGTATGACGAGCGCAGTCCCAACCTTTTTAGACGTAGGTGATCATTGTCCTACTCTTGCTGCTCAATCTGTGGTGCAACCGGGCAAAGATGGACAGTGAAAGGCCTGTCCGGCTTCTCTCTTTGGGTAAGTTTTCCAGTTCATGCCAGTTATCTTTATGATTATCAACTAATATACGCGCCATTATAGATGGCGGGGGTATCCGCGGGCTCTCCTCCATCTTGATTCTGAAAGATTTGATGCGTCATGTGAATCAAGATCGTGATCCCAATAGCCAGCTTCAACCTTGGCAAGTCTTCGATCTCATCGGGGGTACAAGTACTGGCGGGTGAGCATAGAGTCTGCACCTATCTAGATGGCTCAGAATCGTGCAGTCTGACGGGTGTTTCCCATAGCATTATTGCTATAATGCTAGGATGTCTTCGCATGACGGTCGACGAATGTGAAGAGGCGTACATTCGTCTTGCAAAAACAATTTTCAAGCCGAAACGATGGAAATACAACGCCTTCAGCCGTGGTGTCGACTTCTTCTCCGCTAGTGAACGCTACGATTCATCCAAGTTGGAAAGTGTTGTCAAAGAAATCATCAAAGCACGGACGGGCAGCGACAAGACACCCCTCAGTAATTTTACTGAGGATGGTTTCGGCAAAGTGTAAGAGGATGCGAGACTCGCACCCGCCGGAAGCTTGAGCTGACAATAAAAAAGATTCGTTACCACGGTTCAGACAGATGACAATGAGCTGCTTTTGCTGCGCTCGTATGAAACGAGGCAAGAACTCGACAAACACTCCAAACAGTTTCAGCTGTGGGAAGCCCTCCGCGCCACATCAGCTGCCACAACGTACTTTAAAGAATACCGTCGTGGCAATGCCGGTTATCTAGACGGAGCGTTGAAAAGCAACAACCCCATTTTCCAAGTCCGTCAAGAAGCTCGAGACCAGTGGCCGGATAGGGAGGCTTTCTTAATCAGTATCGGAACGGGCACCAAGCCGTCGGTTCCTCTCAGGGGGAACCTTATACACCTAGCGAGAACACTGACCAAGCTAGTCACTGAAACCGAGGAAACCTGGAATCGGTTCAGGGGGTCACATAAGGAAATGTTGAAAGACAGTCTCTTATTTCGCTACAGCGTCCCCGAACTTGGAGGCGTGGACCTGGGAAACCACAAGTTGATGGGCATGGTCCGCACGAATACGGAACGCCATCTACGAGAAGCAGCAACAGAGAAATACGTCACAGCATGTGCCAAGAAGATTATAGAAATTGAGTCGGGTGAATATGCAAAACCTCACACGGGGAAGGCTTCGGCACTGCGTTTAGAGGACCTGTCAGACTCCGAGAAGAGTGAGTTCCAAATTCTCCGAACTTGCCTAAAGTAACCTGACACTAAATCAACGACAGATTGCTTGCGGAGTCTCCATGCGACCAGCGGAGACTACGAAAGCCAGAGGATCGGTATTGAGAGGCCTGTCCCAGGGACCTGTCAATGGTTTTTGCGTCACCCAAAATTCGCCGACTGGGTGCAAAGCAAATCGTCCTCTCTTCTCTGGGTAACGGCAAATCCTGGATGCGGCAAATCGGTGCTTGCCAGCTTCCTCGTGGACGCCCTGAGCCAGAACGAAAAACAGTCTATCGTGTGCTCCTTCTTCTTCAAGGCTGGCGTCGACAGTCGCCGAGACTCCCACCAGGCTCTATGCGTCCTGATTCATCAGCTCTTCGTCGCCGCCCCGGAACTGGTCAACGTAGCGATGGAGGGTTATTCTAGCAAGGACAAGTTGTCTTTCACCAAGGATCTTGAAGCGCTCTGGGCGGTGTTTCACACCTCTGCCAGCCGTCTCCACGATCGCAAGATCATCTGCATCGTCGACGCCCTAGATGAGTGCTCTGATGAGTCTAGGAATCGCTTCATCAGCCAGCTCGTCGGGTCGTTCTCAGCCAGCAACTCCGAGAAACCTGCCGGCAACCTGAAGTTCCTTGTGACAAGTCGGCCGTGGCCCAGCATCGAGAGCCGCTTCCGAAACTTGCTTTCAATCCGATTACGAGGAGAGAATGAATCATCGTCGTTGTCCAAAGACGTGGAAAGAGTTGTCGAGCATCGCGTGCGGGAGCTCAAAATGTCATCCGCGCTCTCCGAGGATGCCAGCACAATGGTCATCAAAGCTCTGACCGAAGGGGCAGATCGTACATTCCTGTGGGTTTCACTGGTATTTGATGCCATTGAGCGTCTCCAGTCGCGGAAACTCAGTTCCATTAAAAAATCACTGGGTTCCTTGCCAGGCAATCTTGACCAGCTATACGAAAGCGCCTGGGCAGCCTTTGCTGACCACGAAGCCTCACAAAAGTTACTCGGAATCATCTTAGCAGCCAATCGCCCTCTAAAGCTAGAAGAGGTCAACATCGCTCTCAGTTCAGGGGTGAAAATCACATCTTTAGAAGGTCTGGAGCAAGAGCTCGAGCCGGACGCAGAGTATACAATCAAGCAGTTAGGAGGATTTTTCATCCGAATCATTGACTTCACAGTATTCCTGGTGCACCAAACCGCACGCGAATTTCTGCTTGGCTCTAGAGCAGACGCTGCGAGAAAGAAGGGGAAGGCAAGGATCAACCTGGCCTTGGCCGAGTCTGACTTGGGCGGAAGTTGTGTCAGACTCCTCGCGCTCCATGGACTCCCGATGAGACCCAGCTTACCTATGAGCGAAGTGGAACGACTCGAGTCCAATAAAGCATTCATGGCCGATTTACCTTCATGGATAAGAGGCTTTTACGAGTACGCTTCAATGCACTGGGCAGACCACCTGGGAGGCAACTCGTTGCCCAAGTCCCAGTCCAGCATTGGTACAATCGTGAAAACGATTTGCGATTCTTCGAAGCCATTTTTTCGAGGTTGGTGGTATTTTTACGCTGAAAGAGGCTTCTTCCATATTGGCAATCATGCGAGGACTTTGCATGGCTATGTGGGTCGTCATCACGCGCACTACACGACAATGAGGCAAGACTTTGTTGCCACACGAGGGCTGCTTGAGGCGGGTACGTCCAGCGTGGAGCAACGCGACGCAAACGACAACGATGTTTTATACAAGTCATGCGTTGACAGCTACAGGCCCTTGTGTCAGCTTCAATGGATCTTTGATCGATACAATCCCGCAGTACTTCAGGTCCACAAGTCTTTGGCGGCCGCATCTAAGCTGGGACGAATGGAGGTCGTCAACTTCTTGCTTGCAACTGGGATGGAAATCCATCCTGCAGTGCAAGGCCCTCCAACGAGGACTTGGTCCCTCACCCAGTCCGCCATCCACAGCACGCCTGTCCTCAAGTGCCTTCTGGCGCGGGGGTTAAGCGTTCAAAGGGAGGACATCGCGTACGCTGCTCGCCATGGGTACGCTGAAGCGTTGGAGATATTGCTGCTTCACAATGCCGGGGAGAGGGATATCCAGGAAACTCTCAGAGAAGCCTTGGTCCAAGCCACAGAGAAAGGATACCCGCGGTGTCGAGCTGTGGTCTTGAAGTATCTTCCCGACAACGCCGCCAATGAGCTAGATCCATCAGTGGGATTTTTGTTTGCAGCAATGCGTAGCGACGAATCAGCTGTAAAGGAAATACTCGACCAGGGAGGGCAAAACACCAAGGAGGCACTTAGTCATTGCTGCGCCCTGAGTTATATAACCATGGCGAAAATTTTCCTGGATTCGATCGTTCATACTCGAGAGATCCTTGCGGAAGCTTTGTTGGCCTTTTATGATTGCCAAATGGGAACCGACCTGAAGATTTACTACCTCAACATCGTTAAAAAGACAGCGGGCTCTGGGCGCAAGTTGTACGATGGGTTTAGATTCGTATCAAGTTTCAACGGCAGTTTCGAAGAGAACGTTGAACTACTTCTACTATTCTCAGCCAAGGGTGTCCGTTTATCTCGACGCAGGTATGTTGGAGCAGTGGCTTTAGTCATCGCTACGGACGAGAAGTACAGCCTCTGGCTCCTAAGGAGCGCGGAGAAACTTCAGGACGATCCGAATCTCTCAGTCAGGGATTTCCTGCCGATAATGTGCTTCTGGGGAAAGGCCAATCTGATACAGACGGTAATCTCAGGATGGGCGGTAGCTGACATCAATAAGAAAAGTGAGGCAGGCCTAAGTCTTTTGATGATCGCCACTGCATCGGGGGATTTGGCCACGGTGGAGGTACTCCTGGAGAGAGGAGCGGACCCAGACGAACAATGTCGACTGGAAGCAACTAATTCAAGTATGACAGACTGTGAGTTGGAGTTGATTGATCTCCTTTATAGTGTGGCTAAGGGCCTCGGCCGCGAAACCCTCGATGGCTCGCCACGCTCGCTAGCCCGAGACATGGGGTATACTAGCATTGTTGATTTGTTCAGTACGTAGCGATGATAGAAGAGCGTCTTTAGGACAGCTCAAGCTTCAAAGTCGGTCGTGGACGGCCTTGTGCAATTGTTTGCTGCCGTTGTGCCTTTACTAAGGTAAAATGCAGCTTTGTCATGCAGGAGCAGGGCGTGGCGCGGTTAGATCTGCAGCGGGACTCGGTAGTAGGTAGCAAGGATTATTCAGCCTCGGAAGACTGCACCGCTACCGATGCCAATTGGAATTGTCTAGCAGATTTTATTTTGTCAAGAATAAACCGGATGAGGATGGTCACCGAGCAATCAGCGTCCTCTCCAGGATTCAAAGCCCGAGCTGTGCTGAATCAGCAAGGCAATTGTCACACAGAAGTAAGTCGTAAGTAGAAACCCTACCGGTGTTTGAAGGCAATCTGCAAGATGCGTTATGAAATCATCACGACGGGCTGCGACAGCCGAGCTGACTGCCACGCGACGGCCGAGCCGTTTACCTTACGGCAGGGGAAGAAAATGGAAGGGACAGCGACCCGGAGGGGTACCTACAGGTAACAGACCCGAGATAGTACTTGCGATTGTATGGGAACTACTACATGGATACAAGTACATGTGTGTCGGGTGCCCCACGGACGGACGCATCTCGCGTCATCGATCCCTTGTACCCCTGACAAATCAAGAAGGAAATTTACTAGCAGCGTCCATGTCACTACCTACCATGCTGCTGCCGCACCTTACCGGTAACGCACATTCCACACAACTGGGAAGCACCAAATCCGAGCTCTCCTTCCCGTTTCTCTGCTCCCGTCAACTTCTGCTGCATTACACTATCAGACAGTCGCCCATTGCTTGCCCAACCACACGCGTTCCTTCCCCCCTCCGAGGTATATAGTTTGTTTCCTCCCGCGTCACCGCCAAATTGCCCCTCCTTCCATCCCACATGTCTACCAGACTCTTCCGCCCCTTTCAACGCATCGCGACATCTTCACTCTCTTCAACATACCGAAGCTTCCACTCTACATCGCCCAATATGGTTGTCCATAACGTCCGCACGTAAGTTCACCAACTCTTTCATACCATCACGCCAACCGGCACGTTGCATACTGCAAGAACCCCGTCTGCCACAATATTCACCAATGCTAACTCTTTCTCTTTACTCCAGTGCCGAGGAATGGAAGGAGACCCTCAAGGAACACAACGTTGTCGTTCTTGATTGTTTTGCCACCTGGTGCGGTCCTTGCAAGGCTATCGCCCCCCTCGTGGTCAAGTACGTCCTCAACATCTACAACGGTCACAAGTACTAGCAACATGGACCGCTCGCTAATTATCCCACTTTGCCCACAGGCACTCTGAGAACGCGGACTTCAAGGGCATTCGCTTTGTCAAGATTGATGTCGACGAGGTCCCCGACGTGAGCCAAGAACTCGGCATTCGTGCTATGCCTACTTTCATGATTTTCAATACGCAGGAGAAGACTCAGGAAATCGTCGGGGCCAACCCCCCTGCCCTCGAGAAGGCCATTATAGCGCTTGCCGCAACTCCCGAGGCAAAGCAAGCGAAGGCGCAGATTGAGGAGAAGGAAAAGGCTGCCGCCGCAGCTGCCGAGGAGCCGAAGCAGGAGTAAGGAATGGATTCAGTTGCGTCAAGATGCAGGGGCAGTAACAAGAGAGCTACCTCGTGTAGAATTTGTCTATAATTCAAGATACCAGAGCTGGTCGTAGTATTGTCACACCACTAGTTGTTCATTTTTTGGCCCTGGCCACTTGGCCATACTGTCACTGTGCCAACGAGAACCATCCAAGCGAACGTGCAGTAAACCAGGACTCGTACGTGTAACTGCCGTGATGTCGCGGCATAGTGATATGATAATCTTAGGATGGTTACTTCTTTCGAGGACTTTTATATCAAACATGGTTGTGTTACAGTAGAGCTTTTTTTTTCCTTCGAGAATCAACCTCCGACATGGCTGCATCTAGCATTAAACCCCCTGTCGTGTCTCTCTCTTCGAAGCTGGCAGCATGTCGATCTGAAGTCATAAGGATAGCGGACGGGCGGCGGTATTCATCGGCTGTTGGCGGTCGGTTTCCGCTTTATGGCCGGGAGGTGACTTAAAGAAATTTAATAAAAAAAAAAAAACATCATTGGAAAGTTCATGACCGGTGGGCCCCGCGCCGGTTTTCGGCTCGGCGTGGGCGGGGGCACTTGCCCGCGGGAAGGGGCGCCCTGAATCGACAATATAGTGTCAATTGGGAGATAAACATGGCGCGATAGTGTGTCTACCTATGCAGACATAAGTCACCAAAAGGCGTTGGTCGACATGCTTAAAGCTTCGAGTTCACTCTCTTGATCGATCTGAAATCCTTCAAAGCTGAGCATATCTAATTTACCCAATTACGTTCAAAGATAAAGGAGCTTGTAACCAACAATACCTTCACAGAAGTACTAACTTATATATACACCTCTCCGACTCACCGACTTTGCTTGAAAGACAATCAGAGCATCTAGAGTTGATAGCTTGAATCGCGACCCAGACATTTCATAATGACCAACAACATTGTTGTGCTCGGGTAAGCAGACAGCAGACCATCTCAATATCCAATCACTCACCGTGTCCAGCGCTGGTGTCTCAGGCCTGACCGCCGCCCTGCTGCTATCGAAGAGCAAAGGCAACTCCATAACCGTAATCTCCAAGCACATGCCAGGCGACTATGACATCGAGTACACCTCGCCGTGGGCTGGCGCCAACATGCTGCCGTAAGATCACGCACCACCCTCAACGCGAGGGAACATGGAACTAAAGCTAGATTCACAGCATGGCCCTAGAGCTTGACAGCAGATGGGAGCGCAGGACGTGGCCTGAGCTGAACCGTTTGGCCGCCGAGGTCCCCGAGGCCGGCATTCACTTTCAAAGTGTGTATTCATAGCCTTATGCTGCCACCGTGCATAAAACCCCTAGAGTACTGACATTTGTGTCCAGAGAGCCGCGTCTTCAGACGCACGAAGGACATGGAGGCCGGCGGCAACCCCTACGACGCGCTCTACGCCGTCGACCCGTGGTACCGCAACGTCCTCCCGGACTACCGAGAGCTCGCAAAGGACGAGCTGCCGCCCAACGCCTACTCCGGCTCCGAGTTCACCTCGGTCTGTATCAACACGGCGCTCTACCTGCCCTACCTCGTAGGCCAGTGCCGCAAGAACGGCGTCGTCTTCAAGCGCGGCGACGTAGCCCACGTCAACGAGCTGACGGCGCTGCACCACTCGGGCAAACCCGCCGACATCATCGTCAACAGCGCCGGGCTTCTGGCGTGCAAGCTGGGCGGCGTGGAGGACAAAAAGGTCATCCCCGCGCGCGGGCAGGTTGTCGTCGTGCGCAACGAGGTCGAGCCGATGGCCACCATCTCCGGCACGGACGACGGGCCGACAGAGGTGTGCTACATGATGACGCGAGCGGCGGGCGGCGGGACGATCCTGGGCGGGACGTACGACAAGGGCAACTGGGACGCCAACCCGGACCCCAACATTGCGATCCGCATCATGAAGCGGTGCGTCGAGCTGTGTCCCAGCTTGACGGGCGGCAAGGGTATCGAGGCGCTGAGCATCATCCGCCACGGCGTCGGTCTGCGGCCGTACCGCGAGGGCGGGCTCAGGCTCGAGATTGACAAGACGACGTTGGCGGATGGCACGCCGATTGTGCATCATTATGGCCATGCTGGATGGGGATACCAGGGGTCTTATGGCACGGCTGAAGGTGTTGTCGAGTTGGTGAACAAGATCCGGGCCGAGAAGGGGGAGAATCTGGCTACTGAGCCCAAGCTCTTTTCCTGGGACCGACCGAGCAAGTTGTAGATTTTTGCATATTGAGGTTGATTTTGAGTTTTTGAATGGCAGTTGGTCTAAATGAAGCGGAATAAAGAATTGGAAGAAACGATAATAAGCAGTAAGCTGACATTGACATCCGCAAAGCCGTCTGACAATAGTTGCTTCTTGCACCACAGTGTGACCTGCCCCCAAGATGGCAAAGGCGGCACCGTGTAACTTGGACCCTGCAGCCACGAGTGCAACCTCCACCTGCCGTTCGCGACAGCTTTCAGAAGCTCCCCTGTGCATCACCAAGCTTTCCGAACCTGCGCAATTCAGCCCGTGAAGCCTCACCATGGCCGAACCAGCGCCCCCGGTTTACGTGCAAGCGTCTCGCTTTGTGCTGGATGTTGCCAATGGCCGTCATGCACTCTCCAAAGCCATACCACCCGTCCTTCTTGCGCTGGATGCCGTCCTCTGTGGACTCATCATCTGGAAGATCCCCTGTGAGCAGCGAACAACTCCAGAAAGAAAGTGACAGAGTACTGATTGTGGCACTGTAGATACCGAAATTGACTGGGTAGCCTACATGGAACAGGTCTCCCAATATGTATCGGGCGAACGCGACTATACCAAGATCAAAGGCGGCACCGGACCTCTCGTATACCCTGCCGCCCACGTGTACACATACACGGGCCTATACTACCTCACCGACGAGGGCAGGGACATCTTCCTGGCCCAGCAGCTGTTTGCAATCCTATACCTGGCGACTCTTGCCGTTGTAATGGCCTGCTACTGGCAAGCAAAGGTACGCCATCTGCTTCTGCTCCAGAACTACGGGTAGCTAGACAATTGAATGCTGACGATTCTCTCCCGCCACCAGGTCCCGCCCTACATCTTCCCGCTCCTGATCCTCTCGAAGCGCCTCCACAGCGTCTTTGTTCTGCGCTGCTTCAACGACTGCTTCGCGACCCTCTTCCTCTGGCTCGCAATCTTCTTCTTCCAGAAGCGACTATGGACACCGGGCGCGATCCTATACAGCTGGGGCTTGGGAATAAAAATGTCACTGCTACTCGTCCTCCCCGCAGTGGGAATCGTGCTCTTCCTCGGACGCGGCTTCGGTGGAAGTCTTCGCGCGGCATGGCTCATGGCACAGGTGCAAATCGTCATTGGGATTCCCTTTGTCTCGAACAACGCCAAGGGGTACCTCGGTCGTGCATTTGAGCTGTCACGGCAATTCTTCTTCAAGTGGACGGTCAATTGGCGCTTCGTGGGCGAGGAGACCTTCCTCAGCAAGCCCTTTTCGATTGCACTACTAGGACTGCACGCGACAGCCCTGCTCGTCTTCGCCTTGACGCGGTGGCTCAACCCCACGCAGAGACCCTTGTCGTCCCTCCTCCCGGCTATGCTGCGGGGCAAGTCCCCCTTCTCGGCGCTGGAGGAGGCCCAGGTGGCCAGCCGGGTGACGCCGCGCTACATCCTAACCACGATCCTCTCGGCCAACGTCATGGGCCTCCTCTTTGCCAGGTCTCTCCATTACCAGTTCTACGCCTATCTAGCCTGGTCGACTCCGTACCTCCTCTGGCGCAGCGGTCTCCCCTTTTACGTGGTGTATATCCTCTGGGCGGCGCAGGAGTGGGCGTGGAACGTCTACCCCAGCACGGACTTGAGTTCGGAGGTTGTCGTTGGCGTGATGGCGGTCACCGTGGCGGCTACGTGGCTCGGCACGGCGGATGAAGGTGCGCCGGCCGAAAAGCCGGAGTCGAAGAAGCGGTGATGCGGTGGCAGTAGTGGTGGTGCTTGAACAGGGGCAATCATTCAAGTCATGTAAAAAGTCGCATTTCGCATCAGTAGTCGTCCTCGGAATCAGATGGCGGCATCTTGCCCACATTGGACTCTTCTTCGTCGCTGTCTTCGTACGTGTTGGTCTTGACAAACTCCTTGGGCCTGGCATTTCGTCAGTCAGCAGCCGAAGTGAAGACGCACGTACATCTGCAAATAGTGTGGAAAAGCTCACCAGTAAGCTTGCTTGCGCCAGGCCTTCTCGTCGCGAACGACGTTGATGATTTCGCCCATGACACGCCCGTCGTTCTCCTCGTATCTCTCGGCCAAGACGAAGCCGCCGCGCTTGATCCATATCGTGTTGCGGAAACGTTGGGCGAGCTCGAGGATAAAGTCCTTCTTGTTGGGCAGCTCGCAGGCATAGAGGTTGTTGCCCTCGGCCTTGACGACGCGCACGATGGCCTGGTTCTTTTCCAACGTTGCCGGAGGAGTCAGAGTGTCTTCAGCCGCCTGAAGGGCGGAGCGCTTTGGTTTGCCCATTGGGTTTATGGCTGGCTGGCACGATGTTCGAGATTGAGCAAGATGATGGGATCAGGGAACTTTTTTTTGTTTTTTTTTCCTGGTGTTGAGAAGCAATGGTGGGGTAATTTTTCCGTCTAGGGATTGTTTTTTTTGGAGGATGGAGGCGGGGTGATGTTTACTTTGTGGAGTACGTACTCCGGGCACTTGAAAGCTCAGGTTCTTCCTCTCAAGAGCCATTAAGAAGAATTAAGTCAATGCAACCACCAGACTTGGAAACAAACTGAAACATCCAACTAGACGATGCTAAGTCATTGAGACCTAAGAAAATGTAATCAATGTATTTGGTATTACTCCAGGCATCTGAAGGGCTACGGGGTATAGGCATGGCAAAACACCGGCATCTTCAACCGGCGCAAACGAACCGAGCTTCTGCCGGCGGAGCTTCTCCGCGCCCCGGGGACTGGAACACCGACCACCTGGCCGCGCTAATTTGCGTTTTCCCACGCGGTCTCGGGTCCGCCATCCGCGATCAGTCGAGACTAGAATCTGGAAACCATTTTCCTTCCCTCCCCAACCTTCCATACCTAGTGCTCACCTTGCTCTAGCTACTGACGCTGATCAATCATTGCTCGTGACACTACAGCTCGCTCATGATCCGGACTCAATGTTTCCAAGTGGATAGAGAACAGTCGTCGTCACCAATAAGTCTTGCATTCGTATCGCTGCAGCAGCCCGTCTGCTTTCACACCGTCTCGAATCCATCCCCAATCGCAATCGGTCCGTCCCCCACACGTCTGCGTTTCCAACCGGGGATATTAATCGAATGCCATCAAGGAGGCTAGACCAACTCCAGCTCGCCGGCCAGAGTACACAGGCTGCAAGTCCACAAGACCGGGACCCCATCTTCTTCCCTCTCATGAGCCTTGCAAGTTTTTTTTACCCCGTCTTGTTCTTTTCAAAGTCAGGTGGGGACTATCTGAACCCTGCATATGCTTCTTGTTCATAGGCTTGAGATAATAAACCCCTCCGACCCGCAAGGTGAAAGGGTCAGGGAGGCTCGCACACCTTACACGCCATGACGCTCTTGGAAAGTTGAACAGTTCTGTCAAGGATCCACGGTGGCTGCTACTATCGTGAGATTTTCCATTACTGTACACTTTTGCTACCTCCTCAGGTGGCCCGTTAGCCTTTTAACCGGATTACCTGCCGTATTTGTAAAAGCTTTCACTACCTGACTGAGCTACCTTGGTGACTCACTTATTTTCCTAGCTCCTGCCACAGATACTTGAACCTTTACACCCTTCCACATTGTCAACTTTCCACTCTCACTCCCCTCAACCAAGGTCTTGGCCAGCGTGTTCCCGCCAGAACCCTGAATCCAATATCGACAAGTCCCTCCCTCCTAGATCCCAAACATGGAGGCCTCAATGTTCAAGACCCTCGTCGAGGTTGAATCCCGCGACCTAGACGCCCACCCTCCCCTCCTCCCCGCCGCCCCCGCCAAGGCCGTCCCGCGAACCTACCCGGGCGCACCACACCACCGTGACGGGTCCTCCATTGAGCTCGCCCGCATCGACACCACCACAGCCAACTACAACAACAAGAGCAGGGCCGGGACACCGCGGGGCAGCGCCGGTCCTTCCCGGGCACAATCGCCGTCCCGGACACCCGGCTCCGGAAGCGATATCGAGATGAGCCGGCCCTCGACGCCGACGGCCTTTGACGTCCTGCAGAGCATCACAGACCCGCACATGAACCGTTACCGCATGGCCGCGTCGTGCCTCATGAATTTTGGCAACGGGCTCAACGACAGCGCGCCGGGTGCCTTGATCCCCTACATGGAGAAGTGAGTTCCCCATACCTAAGCACGCCCAGCGAGTCCGTGAGAACGACAGACTAACACCAAACCAGACACTACGACATTGGCTACGCAATCGTGTCCCTAATCTTCATAGGCAACGCCTTCGGCTTCATCTTCGGCGCAGTCTTCCTCGAATCCCTACGCCTCAAGCTCGGCCGCGCCCGCCTCCTCGCCCTCGCCCAATCCATCATCACAATCGCCTACGCGCCCATCCTCGCCCAGGCCCCCTTCCCCGTCGTCGTCGTCTCCTTCTTCCTCATCGGCTTCGGCATGTCCATCACCCTCGCCGTCAACAACGTCTTCTGCGGCTCCCTCCGCAACGCCACCACCGCCCTGGGTTTCATGCACGGCGCCTACGGGGCCGGCGGCACCGTCGGACCTTTGATTGCTACCGCGCTCGTCACGGCTGCGAAGGCGCGCTGGAGCACGTATTACTTTATCCCCCTCGGCCTCGCCATCTTCAACGGCGTGTTCTCGACCTACACGTTCTGGCACTACGAGCGGGACCTCCCCGCCGGCGGCGCCCAACCTACGCCCGCCGCCGAGGCCGCAGCAGCAGCAGCGAACTCGTCCTCCTCACAGCTTCTCAGCATGTTCACCGCCCTCAAAATTCGCATCGTCCTCCTGGGCGCCCTCTTCGTCTTCGCCTACCAGGGCGCCGAGGTCTCCATCTCGGGCTGGGTCATCTCCTTCCTCATCGCGACGCGCAACGGCAACCCGGAGTCCGTGGGCTACGTCACGGCCGGCTTCTGGGCGGGCATCACCATCGGCCGGCTCTGCCTCTCGCACCCGGCCCACCGCGTCGGCGAGAAGCTGTTCGTGTTCCTCGCCACCGTCGGCGCGGCGGTCTTCCAGCTGCTCGTGTGGCTGGTGCCCAACGTCGTCGGCCCCGCCGTGTCGGTCGCGATTGTCGGATTGTTGCTGGGGCCGATTTACCCGTGTGCAGCGGCCGTGTTTATGAGAGGGATGACGAGGACGGAGAGGGTGAATGGGATGGGGGTGATTAGTGCGTTTGGAAGCTCCGGGGGTGCTGTGGCGCCGTTTACCACGGGTATGGTTGCGCAGGCTGCTGGGCCTTGGGTGTTGCATCCGATTGCGATTGGGTTGTTTGCTTTGATGATGGCTTCGTGGTATGGTGTGCCGCATGACAGGAAGAGGAGCGTATGAGTGCTTCACAGAAGTCGTGGTAAATGGGGTAGATCCCAACGACCAAACACTAAGAGTGTCTGGCCATATACCACCAATTATATGGCTGGGATGGTAGGAAAGATCCCAGGCTTCCAAGTACTTTGGAAATTGGTTTCAATGATAGACTGGATGAGTAGGAGTATGAATTCAATCCGGATTGGGTATCTTTGATACATACTGGCATTGCGTCAACATCATAAAAGCTGTACATATGTAAAACATAATCAAACGCAATAGTGTGGCATTGCTCATTGTATATCCCGTAGACCCAGTCTATGTCTATATCTAGTATCAGAAAATGAAGATCCCTGTTCTCCCTTCCTTGCTTTATTGGTATCTATACCGCCTCTGTTCTCTTCCTTTCTAGAAATACCTCTCGTATTTCTGTATATGTCCCTCGTTCCGTGCTTCGTTCGTTATCTAGTGGATACGTCCCCGCGCGGCGTCCTTGACGCTGAGCTTGCCCTCAACAATCTGCTTAACCGTGGACAGGATATCGGAGAAGTCGTTAAAGGTGACAAAGGAGATGCCCTCCTTTTCGCAGTAGGCGACGAGATCTATCAATCCTGTCAGTGACGTCCCATGAAGAGCCGATGTCGCAATAAACAGAATGAACGATGGCGGGGGCGGGGTAAAAATGAGTCTCACCTTTATCGCGCTTGGCAAACAACAAATCCGTCTCGCGCGCAGCAGACAAATCAGAAACACCATCACCAGCATAAAACATGACGGGCCGCTCGGGCAGCGACGAGTACTTGCGCAGCTCAATCGACTTGTCGTGTCCATGGATGCTGTCGTCATGGTAGACAATCTGCCACCCTCCTTCCTCGTTGATACTGGCCTTGCCCTCGCGCGGCGCAACCTGGTTGCTCACAATCTGGATATGCCCATCGACTTCCTCCTCGCCGAGCCACTGCACGAGCAGCGCGCGGATAATAGGCCGCATGCCGCCGGAGATAATCACGACGGGGACGTTGTTGGCGCGGCACCAGGTGTAGAACTCCTTGAAGACGGGGTCGAGCTTGACGTTCTTCTTGAGGTACTCGATGCACTGGTCAAAGGGGAGCTTGACCGAGTCCATCATCTCCTGGAAGCTGTCGCGGAAGTGCTTCTTGCCCTCGAGGACGAGGACGTTGCCCGCGCGGCGGTTCTCGTAGCCGTAGCCTACGTTGTCTGTGAGGAAGTCGTTGGAGTCTTCGAGGGTGATTGTGCCGTCAAAGTCGGTGAAGAAGATGAAGTTTGGGTTCGTGGCCAGGGCCGGGGTTTCGCTGACGTGGGAGCCCATTTTGATGGTCTTGAATGTGTCGGTGTAGTAGACAAATGTCAAAGAGTGCGATTCCTGGAAGGATGGTGAGAATACAAGTGAATGCTTCTCAGTAGGGTGCGTGGGTGGGCGAGAAGTGTGTGTATGTGTGTGTGTTCCTGTCTTGGAGGGTTTGAGGAACTGGAAATTTGGATGGAGGGGGAGGGGTAAAACCAAAAGGCTCGGAGGGTTACCAACAATTTAGTTCAGTTTACAGATCCTTGCATGCGCGAGTACCTTACATGCAGATTGAGAAAAATCCATCAATGCTCAACGTGGAACAGCACGGTACATGTCCAGCCGGAGGCTTCGAATCGAGATACTCCGTGCCTCCTACTGCCTGTACCTATTGGCCTTTCTTACTACCAATATGGTCCATCCTTCGATCAAGCTGGAATACAGCGAGTAAGACTCTTCCCAAGTTCCCAACACTAGGTAATACTTTCCACTGTCTAGTAAACTTGTCCGAGTAAGAGGGAAAATCCACCATTAGTCCCGCTCCAGTGACGACATCCGCCCCTCTTATCCGACCGTCGCTTTGGCGGACCCTTGCAACGAGTCAGCGCGCGACCAATGGACCCTGGGAGCGCAGATTGCTTTGCAATGGTTGGCCTTACAGCGCATCTCTAACGGCCTCTGGCCGGGTAAACGTAGCAGTTGCTTCAGTGCGTTATAGGTAGGCGAGTGCTTGGTGGACTAGTCTCCAAGTCGAGGACCATTCTTAGCTGCGGGTAACGACACGTGCGTGTGGTGCAGAAAACTCAAGGATACTTTCAGAGTAAGGCATGATTTCTAGTCAATGAGCTAAATGGCAGATGAAGTCTAGTAAAAAAAGATTCAGAAAAAGCAATAGAAAGACCGGTCTTGTAGTCAAAGCTCGCCCAATCTCATCTCAATACTCTTCTTCATATTGCACTTCTATCTCGAGGCTTATCTACAAAGTACTAAACCAAACATGAAGCAACGAGCCTTCTTCGTAGAGACCGGCCAAGGTCATGTAAACGAGTTCTTCGACTAACACGTAGACTATCATGATGGTCAACTCGAACGATGTCGGATGAAAGGCTGATTCCAAGCCAATATGAAAAGCTACTCGTCATGAGTCTATTGCTAAACAGATCCTCAGTCAAAAGCAGTGCAAATCGGCTCGGTAGACATCCCGGGCCGTCAGTCTTCTTCGCCCTTCTACCGCCCCACTTTCGACACCTTCAACCCCGGCACCGGCCCGACGGGAGCCTCTACATCCTGAACGGCAGGCGGTGAAACATCTCCAAACTCTCCAATTGAACCTCTCCCGGCAGAACACCAGCGCCAGACCCGCCCGGTGCGCTCAACACGATGCCGAGTCCAGCCCCGAAAAAGCCCACTGGCTCCGCCCCAGAAGACCGCAGCTAACCACCTTGCCTTACCTTACTCCTCGTCCAAACTTTTGAACCTCTCTCCAAAATCCCTCCCGTCCTCCGTTCGCCGACCCGGCTTCCCCGTGCGTTCTGAACCACCCTCGGCCCATCCCCCAAACCCGCCAATTGGGCCGCTTTCTCTCCTGTCCTTTCTTTCACCGTCGAGGAAAGGAACAGAGAAGCTCGGCTTACTCTGTCCACCATCGTCGTATTCCGACAAACCTTCAACGGGAGAGGATGCACTCCATCGCCAGGCCGGCGTCGCGCCTAGTCCACGCCCGCCTCGGAACGGCAAACCTCTCACGATGGAGGGCCCTCGCGGCTCCGCCACCTCCGCGCCATAACCTCACATTGTCGTCGTCGTCGCCGCCCCCCTCTCGACGGTTCTACTCGGATCTGCCACCGATCTTCGCCCCCCCGCCGCCGAAGGAAGAGCCAAAGCAAGCTTCTCCGACCTCGACCTCCTCGACGACAAGCAGCGACCCGTCGACCCAGAGCTCGGATGCAGCCACTTCAAGCTCCTCCACAGCTCCCGACTCATCTTCGTCCTCGTCCTCGTCCTCGTCCTCGACACCAGACAATGACACCACCACGAGCTCCTCCTCCTCCTCCTCCTCCTCCTCGCCCAAACCCGACACCCCCAAAAACCAATCCCCCGACGACCCCCTCCCAGACACTGCAACAAAAATCTACACCGCCCTCCCCCCAGCCCTCTCCGAAAAACTCTCCCACCTAATGGACACAGCCCAAACCCGCCTCCTAACCGCCTCGACAACCCTAAACACCCTAACCGGCTACGCCCCCATCGAAGAAATCAAACGCCAAAACGCCCTCCTTGAAACCCGCCTCGCCCAGGCCCAAGACCTCGTCCGCACCGCCCGAACAACCTACAAAACCACAAACGCCAAACGCGCGACAACCCAGCGCGAAGTCACAACCCTCCTCGCGCGCAAGGAAATGTGGTCGCCCACCGACCTCGAACGCTTCACCCAGCTCTACCGCCAAGACCACTCCCTCGAACAAGAAGTCGCCGCCGCGTCCGAAGCCTTGACCGACGCAGAACACGCAGAGCAAGCTCTGGGCCAGCAGCTCAACGCGGGGATCTTGAAGCGTTACCACGAGGAACAGATCTGGTCCGACCGCATCCGGCGCGCGTCGACCTGGGGAACATGGGGCCTGATGGGCGTCAACGTGCTCCTCTTCATCGTCTTACAATTCGTCGCGGAGCCGTGGAAGCGCAGACGTCTGGTACGCGGCGTCGTCGAAGAAGAGAAAGCTGTGCTCGAGGGCGTGACGGCCGAGCTCGCGGGGCTCAAGGCCGCGTTGGCGCAGAGGGAGGCGTACGAGGATGCCGCCACTGCTGATGATGTAGCCGCGTACATGGCGTCCACAACGGCGGCGACGACAACACCCGTTGTGGCAGTAGAGGAAGAGACGCCACTGGCCGCGGCGGAACCCACATCAGCAGAGGAGGCGGAGGAGCTTCTGGCAACCAAGGTCGAGGAGCCGGCCGTCCATCACGAGATCGAGCGCGAGGTCGCGAGTGCGCTCGAGGTCTTGGAGACGCAGGTCCCCGAGGCGAAATCATGGCGCGAATCATGGCGCGAGCTCCTCGCCGACCCGGAGCTCCTAAAGGCGAAAATCGCCGATTTGTACAGCGAGCGCCGCATCGATCTCCGCATGCGCGATGCGTCCGTCTTGGTTCTCGAGGGCGCTGCCGCTGGGGCGACGTTCGCGGCAGCTCTGGCATTGCTGCTGGTGAGGAGGACATGAAGAGAGAAAGAACATCACATCACCACTAGAACGTGATTGTAAATACATCTGTACAATATGATACCATATAGAGAGAGCATGGGGGAAACATCCTCTTCGATATTGGCACAAAAAACAACCACATCGATCCTCAGGACACACGGGGCGAGCAATCTTGTCATCCGCTGAATGTTCCGTCTATTAAAGAAGCTGCGGCAGGGGTGGCGCAAAACCTCGCTGATATACCTCTAGTCACGGTTCCGCCGACTTGGCCCCTTTTTCCAATGTTCACTGGTGAACAGTCGGGGCCATACTACTTTTTGCTTCATATATCGTGTTCGCCCGTCACTTCGTTTTTTCCGCCTGCGGTTTATCGTCACAACCCCCGACGACGCGCAGCGTCTTCACGCAGCATCAACAAGCATCGCTCGTGCTGGACATGCCTATATGGCACACATAGAGCTGGCGCTTATCCACGCTGTACCTGCTCGGCATTCTCCCTCCTTCTCACCCTCATCGAAGACGTCACTGAAAGGATCCAGCAACATCCAGGGCTCATTTTCAATCTAGTTTCCATCATGACTCTAGTCAAAGTCGGCAGTGTAAGAGAAACCACGGAACTCTTCTTGCATGGCTTGCGACAAGACTATAGTCTGGTTAGCTGCTGATATATCCGTGATGACAACGAAGATATACATACCTGATTGGACAGGGGTCAGGACAGGTGTAACGCTTGTGAACTCAGAATCGAAGTTGCTGGTATCGGTCGCGCTCTTAATCTGCGGCATGAAAGGCGGCGCAACGCGCTTGTGGTAGATATCATCCCAGTTGATGTTCCTAAAGAACGGTTGGTTCATGATCTCCTGCGCGTCCGTGGGACCGCTTCCAAGACGCTGGTCGGGCTCTCTGGTCAGGAGCTTCTGAAGGATCGATACGGAGTCTCTGGGCATGTGGATGGGGTACAGAGGCTCGTCAGCAAGAATGGCATCGTAAATTTCGTCCTCGTCCTCTCCTCGGAAGGGTGATTGCTGGAGAAGCATCTGGTATATCAAGACACCAAATGCCCACCAATCAACGGCACGGCCGTACTTCTTGTCGAGTAAGATCTGGACCAACAGTCAGCGGGAGTCTTGTAAAGAAAGGTGAATCAATATACCTCGGGTGCCATAAACTCTGGAGTGCCGCAGAAGGTGCTAGTAGTCGAGCCGAACCACATGTCTTCCTTGCAAAGACCGTAATCAGCAATCTTGATGTGTCCGTCCAAGGTCAAAAGGATGTTGTCGAGCTTCAGATCACGGTAGATGACACCGTTCTCGTGGAAGTACTTGAGCGCCAAGCAAACCTCGGCGGCGTAGAATCTAGGATTTGGTCAGTCAATGTCTTGGCGAAAATGGACGAGGGGTTACGTACTGCGCTCGCTTAGTGCCAAACTGGCCTCGCTGAATGTGCAGCATGAGATCACCACCGCTAATGTACTCCATAACGAAGTACACACGGGTCTCAGTCTGGAAACATGCGTGAAGGTTGGTCAAGAATGGGTGCCTCTCCCGGTTGGCGATAAGGAATACTCTCTTCTCGGAGCGAATGCTCTCCACTTCGTCATTCTCAATGATGAACTCCTTCTTCAACACCTTGATAGCATAAAGCCTCTTGGATCGCTTCGTTTCCGCAAGCATGACCTTTCCGAAGTTACCCTTACCAAGCACAGCCAGGAAGTTGAAATGGTCGAGGCCGATACGTTGACCAGTTCCAGGATCGGTGGCGGAAGGCAACGGCTTACGTCCAGCGCCAGAGCTAGGAACACCCCCAGTTGATGCAATGGGTGAGATTTGAGGCGGCTCCTGCAGCTTAGGCGAGGAGACGGGCGATTGCTGGTACATTTGCTGTTGGGGAGGCTGCTGGTACTGCTGAGGGGGAGGCTGTTGCTGCTGCGGCGGCTGCTGCTGAACAGGTCGCTGCTGTTGTTGCTGTTGCGCAGGAGGATGTTGGCCGTATCCAGCTTGCTGGTTGACTTGCGCGTAGTCTGCCGGGTTGTACTTGGGTCCGCCGCTGTTGTACGAGTCTGGTTGCTCTGCCTGAGCCGGGTAACCAGGCCGTCCACCGTAACTTGAGTAGTCCTGAGACTGAGGCTTTTGCTGTGAAGCCATTGATCCGCTCATCGCCGCCGTCGCTGCCGCCGCCGCTGCCGTGCTTGAAGAAGTGCGATCAGGGTGCATTGGTCGCTGGCCAGGCGGAGACTGCTGCTGCTGCTGTTGGTACATCAACTTGGCAGCCTCAGTTGCCTCCGGTGACCCTCCAGCATACGGCTGGCCTCCACTATGAGGAGAGCCGATAGTGCTAGTTGGGCTTGTCGGCTTCTGCCGCAGTGTCCGATCGCTCAACGACGTGGAAGTCTTATTCTTGGAGATCATTCTAGTAGACTTGATACCCTCCAAGATCTGGTTCGCCACGGCCATTGACATTCCACAGAAGTCAGGAACAAGGTGTACGCATGCCGCGTGTGCTGTGAGGCCACATTCTATTCAAAAGTCAGCTTTGTCTTTAGTTTGCCCGTTTGGTACTTCTCGCAAACTTACCCGCACATTTCCTGCAGTTCTTCTTGCCGAAAGGCAAAATGTAACCGCAGTGGCAACACCAGTTGGCTGTCATGTTTGAGAAGGCCTGGAATCTGTGGGGGATGCGGTGATTGATCTTCTCTTCGTCCGGATCAGTTTCAGCGTTACTCTTACTGATACATTTGGTGACAACGCTAGAGTAACATTTAGTGTGGCAAGTGTACTTGCAGTCCTCGCACTGCATGCCTGTCGAATACTTGAGGAAGTCTCCGCAAAGAGCGCAGCGCATGATGTTGTAGAACTGGTGTTGGACAAACTTGTGTCCGTACATCTCGTGAACCTCCTCCTTGCGCTGACGAACAGCACCCACACGGCCGAGACCTTGCAAGTTGACGGGGCGGCGAGCGTTGTTTTGCTTGAGGAATCCCAAGGATAGTTGAATCTGACCAGCAGGCTCGAGGTTGAACCAGCCGTCGATGGGCTGCTGAGCGATCGGAGGGTTCGCCATGGGAGGCTGTCCTTGTTGACCTTGTTGTCCTCCAACGCCAGGAGAGGGGGGAGGACCACCCATTGACTGCTGCTGCTGTTGAGGGTTCATTGGGAATTGCGCCGGCGGAGCACCCATACGGTCGGCCGACACCCACCCAGAGCTGTTGATCTCTGCTTCGATCCTCTTTCTTCTCATTTCCTCGGCGATGTCGGAGATTCTGACCCAGAGCATGGCAATAGGAATGGCATGCTCGCCAGGCTTATCATACACTGTAAGTTCGATTTCGTTCGCCTTGTCGACTTCAAGAGTATGGTATTCGGCTTCCCACTTGTCGGTTCTGGTCACTCTCGTGCGGGCGACGACGTTGTCTTCGACCTTGACGGCGATGAAAGTCTCGGGTCCTCGGCTAAAGCGACTCATGGATGCGTGATCAACGTCCTTGATTTGTCCGACACGAATGGTGAGCTGGCCAGAGAGGGGCTTGCGGAGATTAGGCATATTGATAGAGTCATCTAGGAAGTGTTAGCAGGAGCAGTCCGACAAGATAACTTTCCGCGAGCATAAAAGCTCCAAAACGTACCATCCTGGGCATCAGATGTATCCATGTCGATGTGCAACTCCTCGTAGCGCTTCATAGCCTGCTTCAACAAAAGAATTTTCTGCTTGCTCTCAACTCTTCTAGCGGCAGCATCAGCCTTGCTCTTGCGATCTCCTTCCATGCCGTATAGCTGAACCATCTTCTCGATTCCCTTGAGATACTGCTCCTCCACGTTGAGCTTGAACTGAATCTGCGACAGCATGAGCTGAATACGAGGGCCGAGATAGGGGGTATCATATTTGATAAGATCTGCAGCGGATAATCAGCAACTCAAGTTCGTTGAAAAGGTTTCGGGGGTAATGCGCACCAAGCTTGGTGAAGTTGGGGCGCGGCTTAGGGATGGAGGAAGAGGGGCCTGGATTGGCATAAGGATGGCGGGGAGGCATCAGGTCGGCGTGGCCGCCAATCTGGCTGTACTGGACATTGCCGCCCGACGTTGCGCTCCCGGCACCATAACCGCCACGCTCTGCCCAGGCATTCGCATCCTTGGGGGGAGGGGCGGGCGCATCCTCAACGTCGCCGCTCAGAGGTCTACCGTCACCGGAGGGGGATCCCATGGACATGTTGTCCATACCCCGACGCAGCTGTGCCTCGCGAAGCTTCTCTTCGAAGAATTGCAGGTTTCGACGACCATCGCGCATCTGGGAATCGAGTCGTGATCGCACGGCCTCGTTGTTTGTCTGGGCTCTCATAGCATTGGCGGCGTTGAGGAGAGCCTTTTCGCGCTCAATCTTTTTGAGGATATTTTGGATGGCATCTTCGTCGTTCATTGTGACGGTGGGGTTGCGCGACTCCACGCGCGGGAACTATGTGTTGTGTTGATGTTGATATTTTTTTGGTTGGAGGGGAAAAGAATGAGCTTTGAAGCTACTTGAGATTTCAAGAAGAGCCCTAGTTGAGGGACTGATGCGTTCAGGTGTAGTGTACGCAGATTCTCTCGCCCGCTCTGTTGTGGTCACCGCAATATCGCGCAGGTGGTGGGCGAGGCAGTGGGTGCGAGGTATGGTATTGATAGGATACGACGCGAGGAGAGAGAGGGTGAGGGTGATCGAGAGCGAGGTAGGTAGGTAAGAGATGGGTACGAGGTTCAGTAGCGAAGTATGCGTATGGATGAATACCGGAGATTCGGCGCCGGAGGGGCTCGGGGTAGGTTGGCACAGCGGGAGGATCGGTCTGTCGGAACTGTCACGACAGAAGATCGGTGGGTGCAGCCAGCCCTCGAGTCGTGAGGTGGTGTTGTTTTTTCGCAGGTTGGGCTGTTGGTGAAGGATGTCGTCAGTGGGTTTTGGAGCAGGACGGGACGCAAAGACGGGGGGTTTCTCGGGAGGGGTCGCTCTCTCTTTCTCTCGCGGCCGCCAGTGCGCAGGCGGGCAGAGTGGAGGTGGGTGAGGGAGGACGAGGAGACGGTGGGCAGCGGGAGAGGACGGGGTACCGGAAAAGATGTATTTTTTGTGTGTCGTCAGGTCGAAAAGATACTTGCAATACAAAGTATTCCTCGACCTTCACTTCAAGTCCTGAATCCCCGAGCTGCGGCCTGCCTTTGGGCTGCCCGCTCTGAGTGCACGGGAATTGGGAGATACCTACTGCTACCTAAGGTAGGTAAGGTACCTTACCTGATGTATTGGGTACGTACCTCTTTTGGAGGTGAGGGAGGGGGACGACCTCAGCGAGTCCTGCCTTGCCTGAGGTGCTTCCTGCCGTGATGGAGGGGTGTTACGAAAGCACCCGGCACGGACGAGGCAACTCTGTAACTCGATGTGAAGATGGCAGGCGAGCTAAAAACAAGGTACATTCAGACGATTATTTCAATCAAGGCACCTTACTTTGCCTGCCCTCATATTCCCATCATTTACCACTCGTGCCACTGCAGTCCCACAGGCCCGAGGGTCAGTAGCTAAGGCCAAAAGATCATCAAAGATATCCGCAATGTTATTTCGACCATCCTCGGGGGGATCCATCGGCGTCTCATCATCCCCATTTCCTCTGATGCCCAACAACACTCGTTGCGGGTGCGCTTACCAGGTTTGTCCCTCTCCCATGCGGGTATCCATGCCCAGTATCCGTAAGGTAAGGCCAGCGCGGATACCTGCCTACACTGCTACAGCCTACCTGCAACTGCATACCTATGTACCTAGAGGCTAGAATCAGGGCCAGCTGCTCTAGGATGGCACAAGTTTGATGTCGTATTCCAGGCGATAATGAAAAGGCCGCACTGGCTGGCGAGCTTACTCGCAACTTGCAAAGCAGGGAAGATGGGCGCATAGGGCAGTAAAGCTCAGCTGGACTGTTCCGTTTCTTCCACACCGGTCGCCTTCTATTCGTCCCATCTCAGGCATCTCGGTGTCACCAGCCAAATAGTTGGCAGGCAATGAAACAATTCAACAACTTGTGGCGGCGCCCTGATGATTCACAGAGGGGAAGACAAAAACTCGCAGAGCAAGCGACCTGCAAAAAGTCCTGGATCGGACGTGGGGCTCCAAGGCTTTCCTAGGACTTTTTTCCTAGGTACCGTACGGTTTCACCGTGGTGAAGATTCATTTCTGCTCTGCGCCAATCATTTTGCTTTCCCGGGTTCAGACTCGCTCTTGTCACTTTAAGCTGATGATACAATGGACAATGTACCTTTGTACACCCACTCTCAGATGTATCCACACAGTACCTCTCTCTCATCACATATACACTTCACCACACTCTTGTCTGTCTCTCCAGACGAACTCCAATGAGCCCAGTTTCTCGCCGATGGGCCATACATCAAGGAGACGCAACGTCATGATCACTTATACACATTGCCTGGCAGTGTTGATAAGGTTCTACCGCCCAGCTGAAGCACTAATCTTGCTTTATGGAGGCACGGATACTGTATGGCATTGTATAAAGCGGACGGTACCTGTACCACCATCTCCAAGTCTCGGGGAGTTTATCGGCCCAGTTTTCCCAACACGGCCCATCCTCGCAGTCGCCGGGCTTGCAGCAGCTGCATCATCGCCCGATCCCCCATCACGACCACCACGCACAAATCACACTTCACACACGCGCTGCCCGTCACCTTGCCATGATCTGATGATGCAGCCCTAGGTCTCCCGTCTTCCGTCTCTACGTCTAGCCCTGCTCTAGTCTGTTTTATTCACTTTTCGTACAGTAAGTACAATGGGACGCATGATCCCAGGTTCACGCTGACTACGCAGGATTCATCCAAGTTGCTTCTAAAAGCAGATAATCCCATGAACGATACCGAGCACATGCCAATGTTTCCATATTCACCATTCTACCTTTCAGTATACACCAGAGATGCCCGTCATGCTCTTCTCCACCACCAGCAAACGTCTCAAGCATCTGACAGATTCCTCAATACAAGAGGCCTCCTCGCCAACGCCATCGCCACAGAGCTCTATACACCACCGCCCACCTCGCGATTTGGGGGTTTTTTACCACCGGCCGACTTAGCCTCCCGGCTGACACCTCTGCCGGAGAGGTCTCGCCAAAATGCCCCTCCCGCCACCACACAGCTGCCGGCCGGCCTTTCCGGCCCAACGCCGCGCCACACCGACGGCCAAGTCCTCAGCCCTCTACTCCAGGCACTAACACCACAAATCTTCCCCCAGATTCCACACACACGCACACACACCATCTCTCACCCACACCTCCGATGAACTTCGATAAATAATCAAACACGCGGGTCCCCTTTTTTCTGAATACGAACTGACAACAGTTGACCTACCTCTTCCGGACGAGGAAAATGTGGATAGCTAGCCCATCAACCCCGAATCCGGGTCACCGCCTGTTACTTCCTCAAAAGTCACCTCCCATCCTATCGTTCTCGTCCCAATCATAATCAAGATCAACGGAAATTTCAAACCACGGCTCAGCATGTCATCTGTAACGCTTACCTGAAACGAACTTACCAACCAAGCAGCTCACTCACTGCCAACCACTACACGCGGCTCAGTTGAACCAAGCACACTGGAGCACGTTGAGCCGCCAAATGCATACTCAAGAGGTTAATGCCAGCCATGGAAACACAGGTGACAACAACCACTATGACTTATCCGAGGGGGTGGGAGAACACGTAATTCCAACCCGCCAACTTCGAGGGCTTGACGTCGCGGAACCGTTTCGACCCACCCTCGCTCCGCGGCCGCCGTCCAAGGTGGCCCCCTTCCCCCAACCCACCCGGTCCGCGCAATGCCAGAGAAACCTACCGAGCGAGGAGGTGGGATATTGTAATTCGTTACTGTATCCGTATCTCTATCCCGACCTCGGATCAGTAATGGCTTGGAAAGTTGCGGCTCAAGCCGATCAACTTTCTCTCGCTCATGCCTCTCATCGTCGCTATTCAGATCATCGAGATGCGACGAAGCCAATCATGACCGCTCGGACATGTCATCGCGTAGTGGTTTGGGTATTTTTCGTAAATGCCTTCCTCGAATCACATTCCAGTCAGATTCCCCTTGGTCTGTGTATTGTTAATTGGCGTCTGTGTTCTGGTCTGAAGTTTGATGCGAAGCGTGTAAGGTGCTGTTGAGCCCATGCAGGACAACGCGGCACTTACACATTGGACGCCTAAAATGGGATGAATGAAATATGTCAACGTCAACGACTCCTAGCTTCCACAAAAGGTCGGCGATTCATTTCATCTAGCGATTTGGTTTGAACTTCATGAAATGACTCCTGCCAAAGGAATTGCCTAGAGTCGGTTCCGCATCGATTTGGAGTATGAAGTACGAGGTATGAAATGCAGACTATAAAATTCATAGTCGCCTAGACTTTGCACACTGGAGTTCTTATGTGAAGAGTAGGTCCCTAGGATGACATCATGCCAGCTTGCATCTTCGTTGGTAGGAATTTGCAACTCGGTCTGCCAGACGCTACCCAATATAGGCCCTACTTCACCAGCCTGGAGCAGAAGCCCTTGGCAGACTAGTATTTTGCCGAACGTGACTCAAGTTACTTCCACTTGACAATGCCCTCTGGCCATTGTCATGATTAGGCCACAGATACCAACCATCAATAGCACTGGTCGACTCAGAGCACCTGTCGAAAATCCCCCTCAATGTTGACGCCATGAAGTAATTAAGGCGGCTCAAAGTCCTACGAAGCGGGTAGAGGCATCGCGGTATGCCAAGACTCGAATCACGCAGGCGGCGCATCTTCGCAATGAGGCCCTGGGGACTTTTCACATGAGGTTTCATATAGCATCTAACGAATCATCATTCGCGAGGCAATGCGCCCCAACACCGAATCGTGTCGCTTTTACTAACAAAAGACGCCATCTAGTAACCTACACGACTCCCAAGGAAAAAGCTTTGCAACTTTGATACCTTCTTTCTTCGCCATTCTCTCAAAACGCGTCTACCGCCCTCTTTATGCAGTATACTCCTTCTGCAACAGCTTGGCGATAGTGTTGAGCTGGATATTGCTCGTGCCCTCGTAGATGGCGCCAATCTTGCTGTCGCGCCAAAACTTCTCGGCGGGGCCGTCGCGGACGAAACCCATGCCGCCCATCCACTCGATGGCGAGACCGCTGACGCGGCCGGCGACCTGGCTGGCGTACAGCTTGGCCATGGCGGCGTCCATGACAAAGTTCTCGCCCGCCTCCTTCTTGCGCGCCGCGTTGTAGACCAGCGCGCGGGCGGCGGCGATCTCGGTGTAGGACTGCGCGATCTGGTGCTGCATGCCCTGGAACTCGCCGACGAGCTGGCCGAACTGCTTGCGGTCGTTCCAGACGTATCTTGAAAAGGGGGTTAGTCTGAAATTTTACAAAGAGAGAGGAATAACCCAAGGGGGGGGAGGGGGGTCTTACCTGACGGCGTTCTCCCAGGAACCGAGAGCGAGACCAGTCATCTGAGCCGCGATACCGATACGACCCTCGTTCAGGAGACCAATGGCGTACTTGTAACCGGCGCCCTCCTCGCCGAGGAGGTTCTCCTTGGGGATCTCGACGTCGTCAAAGTTGATGACGCACGTGCTGCTGGCCTTTATACCCAGCTTCTTCTCCTTCTTAGCGATAGAGAACCCCTTGGCATCCTTCTCGACAATGAACGCCGTGATGCCCTTGTACCCCTTGGACGGGTCCAGGTTGGCAAACACGATGAAGAAGTCGGCCTCCTTGGAGTTGGTAATCCACATCTTGGAACCGCTAATCTTGTATCCGCTCTCCGTCTTGGTCGCCTTGGTCGCCAGCGCAAAAGCATCAGAACCACTAACAGGCTCGCTCAGACAGAAGCTGCCGACGGTGCTGGTGGCGAGCTTGGGCAGAAAGCGCTTCTTGAGCTGGCTGCTGCCCCACTTGATGATGGCCGTGTTGACGAGGGTGTTGTGCACGTCGACGAGGACGCTGACGCTGGGGTCGACGCGCGCGAGCTCCTCGATGCCGATGATGGCGCTCGTGAAGTTCATGCCCGCGCCGCCGTACTCCTCGGGGATCTCGACGCCCATGAGCCCCTGCTCGAACAGCTGCTCCACGATGGCCGGGTCCATGTTCTCCGCCTCGTCCATCTCGCGCACCTTGGGCGCGATCACGTCGTTGGCGAACTTGCTCACTGCCTCCTGCATCGCGGCCTCGACCTCGGAGAGGTGGGTGATGGGCGTCGGGGGGATGTCGGCGATGTCAAAGTGGTCGGCATTACGGCGGCGCTGGGTGGTGGAAAGGGGTCTTGTGGTCCTGGAAGGGGAATGTTTTAGTATCATGGCTAGAGTCTGCGGAAAGACTGAGTACTTACTGCTGGAGTGGCGAGAGCGCTCTGCCCGGTGTGCAAGTCCTCACCCTCGCAAGGGCAGCAACACCACGGCTTCCTCTCAAAGCAGGGCGAACGGCCCTAGAAATCGACGACATGGTATACGATGTGATGTGTATATAGTCTCGAGATCACTCAGGCAAGTCGGCAACAGCAAAAAGAAAACAGGGTAAGAAGAACTCCGGAGGTGCGGGAAGATCTGGGGATCGTGGGAACTCCTCGGCTACTTATGGTCTCGCTCGGCCGTGCGGTGAGCTAGCTAAGAGAGAGAAGGCAAACGCCCGGACGGAAACGGTCAATTGGCGTTGAACGGTTTCCCGAAATAAAGGGTGAGACGATAAGATGAGATTAATCGTAGACAGGAGAGCAAGTCAGGAGTATTGTGTAGGTAGAGTAGAGTAGGCCACACAAAATAAGTCAAACATGCGGTGCGCCCTAGACCGTGAACCTCAAAGCCATTCGGAGCCACGGTACCTGGCGGCTGGCGAACAGACACAGCGCCCGCTTCAGCCGAGGATATCCATCCCGCAGCGGGGGGGACACTGGGGGGCCAACACTGTCCCAGAGTCCCCAGTTTTGCTCCAAGTCTGGGGGAAAGCCGACGGCGTAGCACCCAGATGGGCGACATGCCAGGGGGGGGTTTCTTGGGGTTCTACGGGTGACACGGTGACGCTAGAGTCGCTTACGTCAGGACCTGAATTCTTGCAACGGGCATGTGATGCACCTCTAAAGCCGCCCAGTGCGAGTCACCTAAGCCGATGCCGTCCGTGGTCCGAGTCGCAAAAGGACGGAAGTGGGTCCGGGGGACGGAACGCGCTCCTCTGGCCTGAGGCGTCGATTATCATTCAGTTTCAACACCTTATGATAGCCAAGTGCCTTAGGTAAGCAAAAAATCCAGCTTCCAGGGATTCGAATGCACACCTAGGTGCCCAGTCGCGACGATAGCTTCTAGATCGTGACGACAGCAATTGGACGCCGAATACACTCGACACCATTTGCCCGACATGGCTAGCACACTCCTCAGATCCCTTTTCGCCCCGGCGATGAGGCCAGCGGCCTTCCCTCGCGCCGCCTCCATACTCACACCAACTGCGAGCACCATCACCACCCCCCTGATCCGATCCTTCTCCTCGACGCCCGTACAAAATGCCACCATCATGCAGGTCCTGAGAGTTCGTTCTCCCTCTCTGCCTCCCTCTCTACACGATACACTTAACTAATTCTTCCCACCTCACAGGGCTGCCACAAGAAGGGCAAGCGCGCCCGTCACGCCGTCTCCCCCGCCCTGTCCGAGATCAACGCTCCCGCCCTCAAGGGCGTCTGCCTCAAGGTCGGCATCACCCGCCCCAAGAAGCCCAACTCTGGCCAGCGCAAGACCGCTCGTGTCCGCCTCTCCAACGGTCGCCACGTCACCGCCTACGTCCCCGGCGAGGGCCACAACATTCAGCAGCACAGCGTTGTTCTCGTCCGCGGCGGTCGCAGTCAGGATTGTCCCGGTGTGCGCTACCATCTCGTCCGTGGCGCCCTCGATCTCGGAGGTGTGGCCAACCGTGCTACTTCCCGGTCCAAGTACGGTACGATGAAGCCCAAGAAGGCTACTGTTTCTTAAATTGGAGGTCTTGAGTTTGGAAGATGATATGAGTGGAAGACGCATGGATGGGCGCTGTGGAAGGGATTCAGAGCGGAAGGGTACTTTTGCCCTTGTTGTGGTGTACGACTATTAGACACCATAAGACATATCAAGACGTGTACTATCACAATGTACAAAATACCAAAAGAGATTTCACAATATTCAAACATGTTCAAGAAGTTCAAGTCAAAGCTGGACAAACACCAGATGGACCCTTCCATTTGCCTATATCTACACAGCAAAAAACGTGTCCAAGTCTTACAGAACCATTTACGCCACTCCACAGTTGGTACCCATGTGCCTGACCAGTGCCTCTCATCGATGCAGGTAAACTCAATTGGCGGCCTTACCCAAGGCCAATTCTGGAATTTGTTGTTACATGCCACTCTTTTATCACGCCCTCGAGTTGCTCTAGTCCTGCTGGTTCTCGTAACCCTCAGGCTTGTCCAAACCGTTGATCTCGAAGTAGCGGCTCGTGCCTGATTCATTGTTAGTGGTGTTTGCGAAGAGGTCATGATCACAGCCAACTTACAAGAGTAGCCCTTCCAGTCAAAGTTGTCCTTGGGGTTGCAGTGGCAGCGTCTGTCGAGACGAACCTTCTCGCCAGTGGGGCAGTGGGTGAAGGGAACGTGGTAGTAGGCGATATCGTTGAAGAAGTGAATCTGGTCCTTCGGCAGCATGAGACCGGCGGCGATGGAGTGCACAGGCGCGTCACCCCAACGCTCGTAGAAGAAACCACCATCCTGGTCGAGGGACTCGAAGTAGTCGATGTAGGCCTTTGAGCGGAGCCAGTTGAGGTCACCAACTTCAAAGTTGGACCACTAGTCTCAGTCAGTAATGTCACTGGCAAAGTTCTCTTCGTCGGCCAACTTACGAAATGGCAGTGGTTGTAAGAGTCACCACCGTCGTCACTGAGGAAGCCCATGGAGTTGCCCTCGGCAATGTGCTCAGGGTGGTTCTTGATGAACTTCTTGGTGCTATCCCAGAGAGTGGGGATGGTCTCGACGTACTCGTACAAGCTCAGAACGAAGCTGTACTTCTTGTTGTTCTCCTTCATGAAGCGGAACGGATCGTAGTGGATATCGCAGAAGAGCTCAATGGAGGGCTCAACACGCCAGTAGTAGTCGTAGTTCATCATGGCCGGCTGGCGGAAGAAGAAACCAGACTCGAAACGGCACATGTGGCGGTAGCTCACAGAGTCGCCGTAGATGATCTTGCGCTGGGCCATGTCCTCGCGAACCTTACGGGCCTTCTCCTGGTCAATGTGCTCAGGGAAAGACCAGTGCTCCTTGGGGATTTCGCCGTAGTGAGTCTTGCCGGAAACAAGGGAGGTGGTGACCTTCTTGAAGGTGGCATCGAAAGGCTTGTCGTTCAGGAAGACCCAGTCGTAGTTGTAGCGGCGGTTGAATCGGTCCTCAACCTGGCGGATGGAGCGGGCGATGTCCCAGATATCGGAATTACGGGCGAGGGTGACGAAGGTGGCATTCATGCGCGGGCCGTCTGCAATGCCAGAGAGCTCATCCCAACCAGGCTCGTTCGGGGTCATGGCCATGGGCCAGTCCTTGGGGTTGTATGCCTCGCCGACCTTGGGGCTCTTGGTTTCGGAATGAGCGGGCTGCTTGGGCTTCTCGCCCTCTTTGTTCTCGCCTTGCTGCTGCTGCTGGCCGCCGGCTGAAGCACCACCGGGTTTGCTGAAAGAGCCATCCTGAAGCCTTACGCCCTCGTAGCTAGAGTGGGAAATGAAATAAAAGACGGCGAGGCCCTGCGCGAGAAGGTAAATGTAAGCACGGGGTCATGAAGTTCCTTTGACGTGTGCATGACGGGAATGTCGTCGAGATGCGAAAGGCATTGTGCCGCGCGTCTATGGATCAGAGCTGACTGCGCTCGCGCAGAATGGTAGCTGGGGATCAACTTACGAAGAAGGCGAAGAGAATGTATCGCACATAGCGTGCTGAGCCTGTCGCCATCTTGACCGGTGTATTCAGGCCTTGGATGGAAGCCCGGGTCGGTTGAAAGAGGATGAAGCAGAATGGAAGAATAAGAGAAATCCCGTTCTTCCCAGAGATGAACAAGGGCGACTGGGAAGGAGAGAAAAAAATAGAAAAGAGGTGCACAGGAAGGGATACGTATTCGTACGAGTCGACCGCCTGAGAGAAAAGGATGGCTTCAGGAAAATGTTCAGAGGAGCTGGAGTACCAGGAGCACGCTAGCAGCCACGCATCCCACTGGATTTGGGGGACCTGAAGGAATCTCACAGGGTTAGGAGGTACGAATGCAGCGTACGCGGTGCGTCCACCCCGAGAAAAGGGAGCGCTAGCAGGAAGTACCGCGAGGTGGAATAAAGGGGGTGGGGCGACAACTGGCCTGCACCCAGGAGGTTTACAACTCAAAAAGAGCAGCCAGGGGGCATATAGAAGTAGCTTTACGCGGAACTTTGTATGAATCTCTACTTCTGCTTCCAGCTCGAGGTATCTCCCACTTCTCGCGACTGAGATTGATGGAAGCAGACCTGAACTCAACAGCTGCATTCACCCATATCTTTTTCTTACGAACCCCATGCAGAAACGAGGATGTATAATTACGTGCGAAAGTCGACACGGCCCTTTCTGGGCATTTTTCAAAATGCTGATGCAGAGCAACATATGGACGATAGCAGGGAGAGGTCGAATAGGTATCACCACAGAATCGCGGATGCAGACGATACAAAGTACACGAGACATGCATTCTGGGCATGGCATGCTTTTGACAACTAAGTATCCTCCACGTACCTCTCTTCGCTGCAGAGGGCTGCCGCGTACCCGTTCCCAGCTCTTGGGCATCCTGTCTCCATATGATCGGGGACAGGGAACGTGGCCACTGTCGGAATCTGCTGCAGCGGCCTGCCGTCAGCCCTGGGAGTCAGGTCCGTAGACCAGGGGTCAGAGGGTGAGCTTTCTCTTCCATTTGGAAGCTGGTGCTGGAAGTTGGAACCCCATTTGACGCTGGCTGAGCGACGGGACCCAATGGGCGGGAAATCTCTCCGTGCCATCCAACTTAACCCTGCCATCCAGCAATGGTAGACTTAGGGACGCTACCACGTATAGTCTAGAGCAGGTACTGCTTACACACATGGTTGATACCCCAGAAAAGATAATCATCATGTCTGAAACTCACTGTCATCCCTTCTGCCCTGCGTTCCAGAGCTTCTCAACCCCCTGTGCTTTCTTCTGCGATGGACATGTACACATTTCCATTTTGATTGCCCCTGGCAGATCTAGCTGCCTCGTGTATATTAGTCCATTGTGCAGATACGCCGAGTTCTATGTCTGGACATGTTTTATTTTATCTAAAGATTCCACACAACGATGGGCCTACTAATACCGTGCGAGTCGCGATTCTTGTGGGAGTCCGGGAGAAAGGTACCTCATCCTCAATAGTGTCGGACCGTGGAATTTTCACCCGGCTCTTGGCGACTTTTTCAGCATCGAA